GATGAAAGCCAAAAACTTCATTTGACCCCTATGTTCTATTTTTAGAAACTGCCGCCATGTTTTTAAATGGATCAAATCCCCGAATACAATCTATAAACTAGATACCCTAAGGAACATCTAAATAAAGTTTTTTAGTATTTGGCCAAGTAGTTTCAGAGAAGAAGATTTTTTTAAAAATAATTAGGCTTTCACAAAAAATGTTACAAAAAAAAACGTTTTAAGGGCAATAACTCCTTAAAGGGGATATGATCACGTTGACTTATTTGTAGATCTTACTTAGCTGAACATTAATTGCCATTATACTTTCTCTCTATCTATTATAATATTAAAAAAAAATAACCAAAAACAGTAAAATTTAATAAAAGTAAACTATTTCCAACAGTAACCCAACAATAGGTTGTCGAACTTGTCTGAAAATTTCATAACAGATAGATCATAATTGATTTTAACTAGTTTCTCTGAATCAACATCAAAATTAACACCCAATAATTTAAAGGATGTGCTTCCCCAAGTAAGATTTTGATTTGTACAAAACTTAAACTCAATCTGTAACTCATCATAGTAGACTCACTTACTAAAAATCAGCTCAATATGTGAGGGTGTTTAGAAAAAAAGTCTGTATAACTGTTATTTTCACAAAATGTTCAAAGTGCAAAAGCCTGTAATTTCAGCAAAAATCAATGGGGCAGAACCAGACTTAAACTCAATCTGCAACTCATCATAGATATATAGTAGACTCGCATACTAAAAATCAGCTCAATATGTGAAGGCATTTTGAAAAAAAGTCGGTATAACTGTTATTTTCACAAAATGTTCAAAGTGCAAAGCCTGTAATTTCTGCAAAAATCAAAGGAGCGGAACCAAACGTAAATTCGATCTGTAACTCGTGACAGTAGACTCACATACTGCAAATCAGCACAAGATGTGAAGGCGTTTAATAAAAAGTCTGTACAACTGTTATTTTCACAAAATGTTCAATGTGCAAAGCCTGTTGTTTCGTCAAAACTCAGCGGAGGGAACCAAACATAAACTTGATCTGTAACTTATCATAGTAGACTCACATCCTATAAATCAGCTCAATATGTGAAGGCATTTAGAAAAAAAAGTCTGTATAACTGTTATTTTCATGAAATTTTCAAAGTAAAAAGGCCGTAATGTCCGCAAAAATCAGCGGAGCGAAAGCAAACATAAACTCAATCTGTAACTTATCATAGTAGACTCACATTCTAAAAATCAGCTCAATATGTGAAGGCATTTAGAAAAAAAAGTCTGTATACTGTAAACCAACTAATTTTTGTGAGCGATTTATTTTCAAGAGTAGGAAAATAACGCGAGTATTAATCATAGTGCATGTGTAAAAATGGGATCATTCCTTATGTAACTATACTCCAAGTAAACTTGAAACTCGTGAAATTAAATCGCCACTAAGTAGGAGAGAAATGGGTAAATGCCAAAAAAGTATCCGCGAAAATAAGTTGGTTTACAGTAACTGTTAATTACAGAATGACGGAAAAGGATAAAACTATATGGCCCTACAACTTTGTTGTGGGGCCATAAACATATCATGGCTCGATCAATTTACTTATTTGTCACGTGCTCTGTGTTGATTGTTTATCAATGTCCTGATCCAGTAAACTTCGGCAACAAACTCAAAAGTTAATTAGCTTGCGATCAATAATCACTAAATGAAATTTCATTTGTTGAGAATTCGTAGTAAATATAAAAACAAAACATGCATACATGACTTAGTTTAGTATATATGTATGCATTTGCTCAATAATTTCGATAACATCAAAATTACAAGAAACTTGTTTCATATAGCTTTAAATGTCTTTATCGTTTTTTCTGTTTATATTTTCCTTCTGTCTATTAAAGATTGCAAGATAATTGCAAAATACACTAAAATTGGTCAACATTGTCATTAGACTCTTTTATCAAGAGTAAATCCACAAATTCAATTATGTTCATCCATCTGGTTATTTTTCTGTTCAGTTTCTTTTTATTGTAGTTTTGCAAAAAACGCGAGGATGATTAAAAATATTGTCATTTTTGGGGAAATAACTCCAAAAGGAAGTTAATTGACAATTTCAGTTTCAGTTTTGTCAACTAATTTGTACATCTGACCTTGCTATCATATTTTTTTCTTCAGGAAACAGTTTCTCTATCATAATTTTTCTGTGTAAACCCAAAAATGCACCTGGAGGCTCCAATGAGCCTGTATTTCTCACCAGACATTTTTTGCATAAGGGAGCTACCATTTTTTAGGGGGGGGGGAGGGGGGTTAGGATGAAATTTGAAAAAAAGGCAGGACAGGAGTTTTGAGTAAAAAAAAAAAGCAGGATGAGCAACTTTGCAAAAAAAAAAAAAAAACGGGATGACAATTTATGTAAAAAAAAAGGCAGGACCTAAAAAAAATGCGAGACAAAATTTTTCATCCTAGCCCCCATAAAAATCAAATGGTAGCTCCCTTAAGACAATTTATCTATAGAGTTGACTGATAATATTTTGCTGTTTTACGTTTCACTCTATCTACTAAAGTTTTTCCTCAAAACATAAACAAAAACAAGTATAACTGTGAGCTACTACTCCTAATACCCTTACTTTAAGAATTTAGTTAACAGAAAGTGGATAGTGATAAATCTGAAAACCTATCACACAGTAATGCATGTTCACATGCAGCCTGACAACAAATTTCTTGAAACTCTTATTGGAAGTTCCCAAGAAAAGTGTAACGAAATGTCATACATCGACATTATGCGTTTGAATATATAAGTAATGGAAAACAGGAAGTTGATGAGTGATGCAACTGAAAACACATCACACAGTAAAGAATGTGACAAGAATCATAACAAATTTCGGTCTCACCAGCGACAAGAAGCGTCAAAAAGCAACAAAATAACAAATTTTTGACAAGAAGACAAATTTAACAAGAAGAAAGTTTATATACTATTAAAACAATAAATAGAAAAAGTAAATTAATTACAGTTGATTATTTGCTGTTTTATAAAGTTTCAAATTTTGTTATATTTAGTGGCACATGGTACAGTAGTCTAGTAATGAATTTTTGGTAAAAATTATTCGATTACATTATTTTAAAGTATGTATCAATCTGAACATTTTGTAACAATTGCATGTCCCATCCTATATATGCATATGGACCTTTTGAGCAATGACTTAAGTTAGTAATATGTCCTTGCTCGAGTGAAATAAATAAAGAGTTATAGATTATCTTATAATTTGGTTTATAAACTGTAAACTGTAAATATATCTATTTAAACATATCCTTGAAAACAAAAACACTCTTTCTAGAACAAATAGAAAAATGTTTATTTTCTTCCTTCAGTATCATTAAATAATGAAAAAGTGTGTATATTTACAATACAAGAGTGTGCATGCTGAAATGTCTCTCCTGCTTTACTGACCATTGATTTTATGTTGATAGTCCAAAATAAAAGTTTTACTACAAGTATCACATAAACTAAACATGATCAAAGAAAATGAGATCGATGTCAGATAAACCAAGCTAGCAATACATATACACTTTACAATCATTCCATACACCAAATATAGTTGACCTATTGCTTATAGTATACAAGAAACAGACAAAACCATGAGAACTTTATATTTACCAATGAACCATAAAAATGAGATCAAGGTCAGATGAACCCTGGGAGGCAGAAATGTACACCTTACAATCATTCAATGCTTTGAATATAGTTTACCTATTGCATATAGTATCTAAGAAATTACTTTAACCAGGAAAACTTAACATTGACCAATGAACCATGAAAATGAGGTCAAGGTCAGATGAATACTGCCAGACAGACATAAACACCATACAATCATTCCATACACCAAATATAGTTGACTAATTGCTTATAGTTTAAGGAAAAAAAGACCAAAACACAACAACAGTGCACACGCTGAAATGTCTCGACTACTATACTGACCACTGATTTTATGTTGATAGTCCTACATATACAGTTTTACTACAAGTATCACATTAACATTTATGATCAAAGAAAATGAGGTCAAGGTCAGATAAACTAAGCTGGAAATACATGTACACCTTTAATACAATCATTCCATACACCAAGGCAAATTTTATTTTCTTGTTGTTAAATTAGTTTTCTTGTCGCTAATAAGTGAGACCCAAAAATTTCAGAAAGCTCTTTTTTTTGTATTTACCTGTATGGCTATTTGCAACTTATATGTACCAGTAAAATTACCACACTATGAGAAGTTTAGCAAGTTATAAAACCAGGTTTAATCCACCATTTTCTACATAAGGAAATGTCTGTACCAAGTCAGAAATATGACAGTTGTTTTCCATTCCTTCGATGTGCATGTGCATTTGATTTTGCCATTTGATAAAGGACTTTCCGTTTTGAATTTTCCTTGGAGTTCGGTATTTTTGTTATCTTACTTTTTGCCATTTAAATTGTTATATTGGCCTAGAAAATAGATATCTAGCTATAGCTTGAGAATTGAAAGCTCAAATTTGTTCAGTCATGTACTATTTCCTGTCTATTATTCAAACAAATACTTTGATGTCCCCTGGTTGTCTAAATGTTTGTGTTGTTGCTGTAGTCTTCAATTGGATTGTCTTGTACTTTAGGACCAAAGGAGTAGAGCCAGGATCTCCAATAAACGGCCCTGTAAAGGTGTTTTTTTTTAACTTCAATTATTAAAGTAAATATAACGTGTGTATGTTTTGCTAAATGTATGATATTTGAAAGTATAATAAGAAAAAATGTATATTTGCATCATATCTATAAATATGTAAGTTAGAAATAGGAAATTTTTGTTGAAAAGTAAAGAATATGGTATATAAAGGATATTTCAGCAAAACTTTTTGTACTGATAATTTTTTCAGAAAACTGTCATAAATTTTTCAAAATTCTGCAAAATATCAGGTTAGTGAACCAACTCCTTTAGATCTTTTTCCCATAATTTGTTGATATTACCCTTGATCTGTGTCCATCTTGAAATCACAAGTGTATCTTTATAGTTTTTTTATTCAAACAATTATCCCTGTTTAAAACGTTCAAAATTAAACATCTGTGCATCTAAAACATTTTCAAGATTCTTACAGTAAGAAAAGAAGAAAAAACCTAGTTCATAATACAATAAAAACTACTGTTAAAAAAACTTCAAACTAATATAATAATATGCAAAACAAGCTATCTTAGACCACATCTTAAGAATATCTTAATATTTGAATACTGGTCAACAGTCAGTTTTAAACTTGAAGTAGTAAAGCAACTCCACCAAGAATCCATTTACTAGACTTTTCTTTGGATTTCAGGTTGAATGTCCAGACATATGTTGGACCTCTGGTCTTAGTTTTGTAGACTGGGCATTCATAAATATTTCTGGTTTCCATCCTGTCTACTGGAATTGCTCTGATAAAAATTACTGGCACTGGGGGAGCTAGCTCTTTCAGACGGGCCTCATTAATCATCCCTGTTTGTATGTCCCATCTTGCACCTTCCATGAAAAGTCCATGGACATATGCCCCTTCTCTTGGTGGTCCAGCCATATCTTCACGGCTCTTTTTGGTGACATCACACTGCAGAGTCATACGGTCCAATGGCCATTCGTTCTTCCTTGCCATCTGCTGCATGATAGCTGTGAGGAATGACTGTGGATTAAATAGCCCACCAAGCCAAACAGCAGCGGGAAGAATAAAGTCAGACGACCAGGTCTCAAGCTCTTTAATTCTCTGTAATAGATCTGCATACCATGCAGCAAGACCATATAATGACGGATAGGCCTTACCATGCCAACTAAATGGCACTTGGTCCAAAAACAGTGAATTACTAAGATCTTCCATGTCAGCAGATATGGTCAGTTCACCCTGAAAATAAATTTAGAAATATTTACTTCAAGCTTCAGAATATGTACAAAATCTTTTTAACATTACTCCAGTTTATTATTTACTATGCTTGTACAAATCTTTTTGAGTTAGGCCAATTGCTACTGTTTTATGTAGTTTGTTCTTATGTTGTACTGTTATACCACTGTCCCAGGTTAGGGAGAGGTTTGAGCACTCACAAACATGTTTAACCTCGCCACATTTTTTATGTGCCTGTTCCAATTCAGGAGCCTGTAGTTCCATGGTTGTCATTGGTTCATGTCTGTTGTATTTGTTTTATGTAAATTGTTTTGTTATAATTAGGTTCTTAGTTTTCTCCTTTTGTTTCACATTTTTCATGTCAGGCCTTTTATAGCCGACTAAGCTGTATGGGTTTTTCTCATTGTTGAAGGCTGTATGGTTGCCTATAATTGCTTACATCCACTTCATTTGAAATCTAGTGGATAGCTGTCTCATTGGCAGTCATACCACATCTCCTTATTTTTGTATTGTATAGGTTTTTACTGAAACAAATTTAATGCATATTTTAAGAAGACTAAAATTGTGTGATGGATCTGTACAACTACAAGAAAACATTCACATTGTTTACGAGTCCTGATATCATCCCTCTACCTATATCAAACCCATTGCTGCCTATGCAGATGTTGCAGTCTTAGTATGATATTTGAAATATGATGGAAAATGGTGAGAAATAATCTACATTGAAATGCCAATCTGTAAGTCTTCTTGAAGTGTAATGAAATTGATTCATAACCAATAAATATAGAAGATAAGCTTGGCTTAAATAAAACACAACTTTTACAGCTGCCACATATTGAGTCTATCTGGCAACATATAGCAAAGCTAGGTAAATGAATATTTGTGACATTAATTAAACCATGTTTTATATAAGCCAAGCTTAAACAACAACACAGGTATCTTTGAAAAAAACATTCAATTTAAGTCATCATTTTGGTGTAAAAATCTTGTAAAAAAAATTGCAATGCAAATTTTTACCTTCAATCCTAAATCAAGTTCCTTCAATGATCTTCTAATCTCCGCTGACAGGATGTTCATACGTTCACACTCCTGGAAGGCTACAACAACATATGGTGTTCTTTCCTCAACTGGTACTCTACCCATCAAATCCAACATGTTAAATTCATCCGGTAATTTCTCGATTATGTCATCCAAAGTTCCTTTGATCTAATCATAAAAATATTTTGTGATCAACTGTAATTTATAATTCAATATAACACATGTATGTTAACCATATGTTTTCAAAACAGAAATTTCTAAAAATATTTAGCTACAGTATTTCAAACAATTTTTCCCATGAAGAATGAATATATATTGTTCACAGAAGGACAAATACTGTAACTTTAAAATTATTGTGAGATTTAAAGATGTTCGCTCCTCTTGTTTTTGAATTTTTGCCAGATATTCGGAATCCTCTGGTTTAATCCATGTAGTGGCATTAAAAAAAATTTCCCACTAACCCCTACTTTTCTTTTCATAATTTGATTGCATATAGTTTAAAATACCATCTTTGAATATCTTATTAAATCCTTGTTATTTTTTCATAGTTTTTGAAAGAAGAAAGGTGCCAATGTTAAATGTATGAAAAATCTAGAGAGAATCATTTCCTGCCAAATTTTCAATGGCTTATATCTCGAAACAAGTGCACGGACCCTACATGTTTTTCTGCTTTTATAGTTCCTTTATTTATATACTACATAGTACATGGATGCCCCACTTGCACTATCATTTTCTATGTTCAGTGGACCGTGAAATTGGGGTCAAAACTCTAATTTGGCATTCAAATTAGAGAGATCATATTATAAGGAACATGTGTACTAAGTTTCAAGTTGATTGGACTTCAACTTTATCAAAAACTATCTTGACCAAAAACTTTAACCTGAAACGACCAAAAACTTTAACCTGAAGCGGGACAGACGGACGAAGGGATGCACAGACCGAAAAACATAATGCCCCTAGGTGGGGCATAAAAATATGTGTTTGGGATTCCCAACTACCCTTATTTTTGAGTTCCAACCCTAACAATTTTATGAGGATTTCTTCACCATACATAAACCTTTCACCAACAAATCAGTTGTTGTACCTGCTAACTTATTCTATCCATATACATGACAGATTACATTTCAGATTAAACGATAAGAATATCTAATTGACTCGGCGAAGATAATGTATTCCAGCTTGTGACAAAAAATTATCTCAACCTGCCAACCATACAATACTTTGGCATTAAACCCTTTACACTCCTATTTATTTTTTTTACTTTAAGAATGTCTACATAAATACCTAGGAAATTCATTAAATGTTCTTCGTCAATAATAAAGTACAATTTAGGCAAAAACAGAACGGACACATATTTTGAAAGTTTTTTCAGGCTCCCAGTTCAAATTTAAATTTTAGTTGTAATATATATAAGATGTTCAATTTAACTATTTGATTCATAAAGACTTTTTTCACTATTTTCTTAAATTTTGCTCTGATCTTTTTGTGTGATAATTTTCCATCTGAAGCGACTTGACTGCATGATAAAGGTTTTGCTCAGTCAAGTAGAGTTAGACTATGATGAAGTCATAAGCCAATGTCATTGACGTTGCCAAGGAAGATAGCAATAACAGATTTTCTATGGTCTCTCATCTCGAGGAAGTTTCTCTGATGCATCTCATCTCAGGGCTATCACCCTTTCGAGAAACTCCAGCTCCCTTTCAAAACTATTGATGAACTGTAAATGTACAAAGATCTCATATATAATCCACTATTAATGTTTGAAATGAAAACTACAAACCTTATCTTCCCTGCTTGTACCAGTAGCTCCTGCAGTGCCTACATCTCTTGGCTGCATCTCAAATACAGTTCTGAACAGATTCTCTGATGTTGTTGTCAGAAATTCTATCTCTGCATTAGGATGGAGACCGTACAAATAGGGGCTTTCTGTGGGGAGGCATTCATCAACATAATTATGATATCCTTTGTAGTCAGAGTTCGGTGGTAATGGGAAGCCTGGAGCTAAGTACAGCTCTCCATCTAGCTAAAAATTACAAACAAATAAATTTAATATAAACTTAGAAAAAATGTTGGCTTTTCTTTAGTTTAGGAAATAGTGACCAAATATGGCCATAGTATTACTATCAGTTACCCCTATCCTAATTAAACTCTATCATTACGCTAAAGCTAGAATCAATCCTAACGAATAATTTGAACACTAACACAAAAGTATAGGGTTCCCCTAAGTTATCTCAAGTATAGCTTTTTACTTAAATATGATATAAATAAATATGGAAATAAGTACATCTGTGGATTAAAATTAACAAGAGGCTATCAAGAGCCTGAATCGCTCACCTGTTATTTTTTTTGCTTAAATCTTTCATCAATGATTATTTTTGCTTTTTACCCATATGTTCCATTTTAGCCATAGTGTCTATGTTTCTTGACGTACAAGGAAATGAAATACAAAATTTATACTAGATTCATTTGAGAAAATTTTTAAAGTTAAAAAACATAAAACTTGTGTAAAATTGTCCTTAAAGGGCAATAACTCCTTAAGGGGTCAATTGACAATTTTGGTCATATAAAATTTTGTAGATCTTACTTTGCTGAACATTTTTGCTGTTTACAGTTTTTCTTTATCTTCAATAATATTCAAGATAATAACCAAAAACTGCAAAATTTCCTTAAAACAACCAATTTAGTGGCAGCAACCCAACAATGGGTTGTTCGGTGTGTCTGAAAATTTCAGGGCTGATAGATCTTATCCTTTGAACATTTTAACCCCATGTTAGATTTGCTCTAAATGCTTTAGTTTCTGAGATATAAGCCAAAAACTGCATTTCAACCCTATGTTCTATTTTTAGCCATGGCGGCCATGTTTGTTGATGGATCAAAATTTCGGATACAATTCATAAACTAGATTCCTAAAGGAACATTCATTCAAAGTTAAGAAGTATTAGGCACAATAGTTTCAGAAGAGAAGATTTTTAAAGGTGTAATACCACCAAATCATAGTACGTCACATCCGGTTGCATACGAAAATAGGTCTAAAAAAATATTCCCTTGAATTTGACAGTTGTAGGTAATTGATCCTACATTTCATTGCAGTAAAACATTTCTGAGTCATAAACATATATCTTGGGTATTTCAAAGCACCATTATTTCTTTATTAGGGGTTTCTATAGAATATTTTGGAGACTTGAGGTTACATGGTTACTAAAGCTTGTACACAGGTTAAAAAAGGGGGGAAATTTGATTGGTTAACTTCCAGTGATGGTTATTTTCTTATATGCAATGAAATGTTATGTGAATTTTTTTCTATAGTACTGGACAGGATAAAACTTTACTCATGCCAAGTATTTCTTTATTTGAAACAAAGATAAATTCTGCACAATTTTTTGAAAAGTGCAAATTTAACAAAGACTAATAGGGGAAAATCAATGGTGGTATTACACCTAAATGTTAGCAAACTTGATGAACACATTGCGTAAAATTGTCTTTAAAGGGCAGTAACTCCTTAAAGGGTCAATTGACAAATTTGGCCATTTAACTTTTCTATAGATCTTACTTTGCTGAACATTATTGCTGTTTACAGTTTATATCTATCTATAATAATATTCAAGATAATAACAAAAAACTGCAAAATTTCCTCAAAACTACCAATTTAGTGGCAGCAACCCAACAATGGGTTGTTCAATTTGTCTGAAAATTTCAGGGCTGATAGATCTTGACCAATTGAACAATTTTACCCACGTCAGATTTGCTCTAAAAGCTTTAGTTTTGGAGATATAAGCCAAAAACTGCATTTGACCCCTATGATCTATTTTTAGCCATGACGGCCATGTTTGTCGATGGATTAAAACTTTGGATACAATTTATAAACTAGATATCCTAAGGAACATTTAGATGAAGTTTGAAGGTATTTGGCCCAGTAGTTTCAGAGGAGAAGATTTTTGAATGTTAGCAAACTTGATGAACAAATTGTGTAAAATTGTCTTTAAAGGGCAATAACTCCTTAAGTGGGCAATTGACAAATTTGGCCATTTAACTTTTCTGTAGATCTTACTTTGCTGAACATTATTGCTGTTTACAGTTTATATCTATCTATAATAATATTCAAGATAATAACAAAAAACTGCAAAATTTCCTCAAAACTACCAATTTGTTGGCAGCAACCCAACAATGGGTTGTTCAATTTGTCTGAAAATTTCAGGGCTGATAGATCTTGACCAATTGAACAATTTTACCCACGTCAGATTTGCTCTAAAAGCTTTAGTTTTTGAGATATAAGCAAAAAACTACATTTGACCCCTATGTTCTATTTTTAGCCATGGAGGCCATGTTTGTCGATGGATCAAAACTTCGGATACAATTTATAAACTAGATACCCTAAGGAACATTTAGTTAAAGTTTGAAGGTATTTGGCCCAGTAGTTTCAGAGGAGAAGATTTTTTAAATAGTTTACGACGACAGACGACGATGACGGACGCCAAGTGATGGCATAAGCTCACATGGGGCCCTTTGGGCCCCGGTGAGCTAAAAAGGTAACGGATTGAAATTATGCAAATTAAACAATGGCTATAACTGATTTTTTTTCTAAATAATGGGTAATATTGTAAGAAAAAAAATTGTATAGTAATTTTATGATTTCCAAGATATGAATTTCAATGCAACTATCACTAATTATAACCAAAATGATTTTTTGATAACATGTACCAAACAATTTTGTGACATAAAAATTTTGTCATAACTTATACCACACAAATTAATATTACACAATAAACCAACCAATTTCTCCATAAACAACTATAATTTTACTTCAAAACATACTCTAAAATATGTTGTATTATAAAATTACCATATCTGGATGCATATAAACTTCCAAGTATGTCTTCACCAATCTTCTGTCCCAGTCATCTGTGATATGACCTCCATACATGATCTCACCAAACAGGTACCTCAGGTCCTCCCACGGAACTTTTGTATTAGCTTCAAGATAGTTGTACAAAACCATAGCACTTATAGTTAAATCTCCGGTGTTGAAGGGATAAATCCTGTTCCAGCCCTGAGGTCCAAATTTACGTCTTTCGGAAACTACAGCATGGAAGTAACATAGAGAGAACAAGATGCTCTTGAACTCATTCTCTTTTGCACACATTTCTAAGGTTTCCTGAAGAAAACAAAAGCAAACAGGGTTACAATAGCATATATTATCCAGTTATTTTCTTGTTCAATGAATTATGTCAGGGTTTGGCAATATTTTTTGTCATTTTTGACCATGCAAAAACCTTCCAAACATTAAAACTTTACATCAATTAAATATGCTCATTTGCATTTTACTTTAAAGTGTTAAATATTTCAAAATCAGTTTTTCAACTGACTTAATCAAATCTTTTAATTTTATATACCTGATCAAAGTTATCAAGAGCCTGGTGAAGGTTGGCCACCATTCCTGTGGGAGGTTCGTTAGTGATCTTAATGGATATTTCCAGTATACCCTGTGGTATAATGTGTGATTGTACTGTTGGTGCAGGCTCAGCACTGATATACACTCTGTAATTAGCATGGCATTCATCTGTGTAACTTTCTAACTTCTTCTCCAATACTGGTAGCCATCTCTCAACCAAATGAATATTCTGTGAATGAAAATTTACTTACATATAATGTATAAACAGTCCCTAAATTCAAAATTAAATTAAAATTCAGTACACTTATTTGAAATTTAGCACAAAGTAGACCTATCAACTTGCTTGATTTAAAAAGGATTTCTGCCATCAGAGGTGTTTACCTGACTCTTGACATCCTCCATAAAATATACTTAATTCGACAAAATAGACATTCAAAGGAATTAAAATGGCATTTAAGCCCATCTGTTTCCATCCAAACATGCTTATGGCATAAATAAGTGATGCTCTTGTGCATAACATCTCCAATGAAGATTTGAAAAGTTGGCAGGTTTGTATGAAGTTATTATTATTGATTATAATAAAACTACACTTATTCCTCAATTAAGGTGAGTGGTAATCTAACGAAAAATATTGTAACAGCACCTCGAGTCCTCGAGAAAACATGAGAACATTTTTTGGTAATTTCTTATAATCCATAAATTTAAAAAAGAATAGTAAAATTCAGCAACATGTCATTATAACATTTTCAACATGCCTTCCCTTGCTTCCATGTATCATTTAGCAATAGTGTTATTACAACAAAAATGTTTAAAATATGATTTCTAAAATATATTGTTTCAAATGAAATTAAAACATTTTAGAGAAAGAAGTAACGGCAGAAGTTCTTTTATGATTTTCAAAACAAGTGATTAAATACTTAATTTCTTTGCTTTCTTCATAAAATTGATTGTTATATTTTTTCATGATTTTGACTATTGGGTATAAATGTCAGATCTTTGATCATTCCTGCTGAATTTATTCACAACTTTTTTATACCTTGGAAAAAAGAGCTTGACATACATGTATTGTATAGAAACCTGTTTATTGTTAAAGATTTAATGTTGCCTGCTATGAGTTTTTTTATTATTTTGTTGTTAGCTTGCTGTCTCTTTGATGTGAACCCAGCATCTCCATTTATTCATAACTGTTTTAAATTTTTGTACCAACCTGTAATATGACCCAATGACCGTCCTTTACAGCAAGATCTAAGGCACTCTCAGCAACAACTTCCTGACCTTGACCTAAGGATATATTATGGAAGTTTTTATTGTCAGCACTGAATCCAATCTTTTTACCATGGACCTCTACATCTTTGATAGGATTGACTCCAGGAGAAAGGATGAAGAACATAGGTGTGGTTGGTCCAGATTCTTCATAAGATTTGGCAAACTCTACACTCCTCCCTTCAACATACTTAGTTCCTAGTTTCTCCTGGACAAAATCTCTGAAAATAGGAGCATGTGAAATTGAAAATAAAAATTACAAAATGTAAAACTTACTTTTATTCTTCATATAGGTATCACTACAAACTGCTCAGAGTCTGAAAAGACCAGTTTTTGTGCTCGACCAGTAAAGTCGAGCACACATTTTACTCGACTAGTCTCGACATTGTCTCGACAGTACTTAACTGTACTTAATTGTACTCGACTAGGTCTCGACTTTACTTAATTAGTCTGATTCAGTACTTGATGATCTTGGTGTAGTCTGAAATGGTCTCGACCAAGGCTCGACCAGTCTTGACCTGTCTCAACCAGTCTCGACCTGTCTTGACTAGTCTCGAATCAGTCTTAACCAGTCTTGACCTGTCTCGATTAGTCTGGGCCTTCAAATTTAGTCTTCACTGGTATAAATCAGCCCATCTAACTAAATTAAATAAAGATCTTACAAAATTCCAGTTTATTTGTTAGTTTGATTCATTGCTGTGAAATGAAAGAATTTAATTAATAGGTAAAAACAAAAATGATTAAATTCAGATAGGCATCTTTAATTTTTTTTATAACTTTTTCAAATCAACTTGGATTTTCATCTAACTATACAGCTACCTTGGTAATATATTAATCTTACTGAATCCCAGGTTGTTAAGAAGTTTGGTGTATTGCTGTAAAATTTAAGAATTAAATTAATCTAGGTAAAAAAAGTTAGGATTTGCAGTTCGGACAAAATAGAGATAGTACACTTTAATTTTTTTTATAACTTTTTCAAATCAACTAGGATTTTCATCAAACTATACAGCTATCTTAGTAATATATTGATCTTACTGAATCATAGGTCATTATGTAGTTTGGTGTATTGCTGTGAAATGTAAGGATTAAATTAATCTAGGTCAAAAAAGCTTGAATTTGCATTTCGGACTATATTCAGAAAGTACACTTTAAATCTTTTTATAACTTTTTCAAATCAACTTGGATTTTCATCTTACTATACAGCTACCTTGGTAATATATTAATCTTACTGAATCCCAGGTTGTTAAGAAGTTTGGTGTATTGCTGTCAAATTTAAGAATTAAATTAATCTAGGTAAAAAAAGCTAGGATTTGCAGTTCAGACAAAATAGAGATAGTACACTTTAATTTTTTTTATAACTTTTTCAAATCAACTAGGATTTTCATCAAACTATACAGCTATCTTAGTAAAATATTGATCTTACTGAATCATAGGTCATTATGTAGTTTGGTGTATTGCTGTCAAATCTAAGGATTAAATTAATCTAGGTCAAAAAAGCTTGAATTTGCATTTCGGACTATATTCAGATAGTACACTTTAAATCTTTTTATAACTTTTTCAAATCAACTTGGATTTTCATCAAACTATACAGCTACCTTAATAATAAATTGATCTTACTGAATCAAAGGTCATTATGTAGTTTGGTGTATTGCTGTCAAATTTAATCTAGGTAAAAAAAGCTAGGATTTGCAATTTCGGACAAAATTCAGATAGTACACTTTAATTTTTTTTATAACTTTTTCAAATCAACTAGGATTTTTATCAAACTATACAGCTATCTTAGAAATATATTGATCTTACTGAATCATAGGTCATTATGTAGTTTGGTGTATTGCTGTCAAATTTAAGGATTAAATTAATCTAGGTAAAAAAGCTAGAATTTGGAGTTAGGACTATATTCAGATAGTACACTTTAATTCTTTTAATAACTTTTTCAAATCAACTTGGATTTTCATCAAACTATACAACTATCTTAGTAATATATTGATCTTACTGAATCACAGGTCGTTATGTAGTTTGATGTATTGCTGTCAAATTTAAGAATTTAATTAATCTAGATAAAAAAAGCTAGGATATTGGAAATATATCTTTTATCATAATTTGGGATAAAGTATATATGATATAGTTATATAATTTCTTAAATGTTTTATCCCTTTTTTATATATATGATATGAATATATATCAAAAAGGGGTCAAACTTTAAAGAAATTATTAAAATATTTCTTCTGATTAGTGGTGATGTATAAAGCAATACCTCCTGCTTGGGGAAACTTATTAAAAAGATCACACCTACCAGAGAGTTTTAAATTCTAAATAACATTCATTCAAAATTGCAACATCCTGTTAAACTTAAATCGCAGGGCTTTTTGAATTCACTAGATAAGTAATACACAAGTTTAAGAAAAGTAGGGCTTTCTTTTTACCTGTAAAAGTCACTTGTACTGAGGTAATTAAACCATATTAAAGTGGTTCTTGTATGCCATGTCTTTAAATTTGACAAAAATTATTTTTAGATATGATTAAAATACATTTTTACTGTAACTTTGGAACACATTTCCTTTTTTAAAAGGTTATCAAGGATTGTTATGAAAGTTCATGATATTAAATTCTTGTTTTAACAAAAAAAGGTGTCTTTTTTTAAATTTCATAACCTAAGATAGCTGTATAGTTTGATGAAAATCCTAGTTGATTTGAAAAAGTTATAAAAAAAATTAAAGTGTACTATCTGAATTTTGTCCGAAATTGCAAATCCTAGCTTTTTTTACCTAGGTTAATTTGAATCTTAAATTTAACAGGAATACACCAAACTACATAACAACCTGGGATTCAGTAAGATCAATATATTACTGAGATAGCTGTATAGTTTGATGAAAATCCTAGTTGATTTGAAAAAGTTATTAAAAGAATTAAAGTGTACTATCTGAATATAGTCCTAACTCTGAATTCTAGCTTTTTTACCTAGATTAATTTAGTTCTTAAATTTGACAGCAATACACCAAACTACATAACGACCTGTGATTCAGTAAGATCAATATATTACCAAGGTAGCTGTATAGTTTGATGAAAATCCAAGTTGATTTGAAAAAGTTATAAAAAAAAATTAAAGTGTACTGTCTGAATTTTGTCCGAACTGCAAATCCTAACTTTTTTTACCTAGATTAATTTAAATCTTAAATTTGACAGCAATACATCAAACTACATAATGACCGGGGATTCAGTAAGATCAATATATTACTAAGATAGCTTCATAGTTTGATGAAAATCCAAGTTGATTTGAAAAAGTTATAAAAAAAATTAAAGATGCCTATCTGAATTTAATCTTTTTTTTTACCTATTAATTAAATTCTTTCATTTCACAGCAATGAATCAAACTACCAAATAGACTGGTATTTTTTAAGATCTATATATAATTTAGTAAGATGAGCTGATTTACACCAGTGAAGACTAAATTTGAAGGTCCAGACTAGTCGAGACAGGTCGAGACTGGTTGAGACTGAGTCGAGACTAGTTGAGACTGGTTGAGACAAGTCGAGACTGGTCGAGCCTTGGTCGAGACCATTTCAGACAACACCAAGATCATCAAGTACTGAATCAGACTAATTAAGTAAAGTCGAGACCTAGTCGAGTACAATTAAGTACAGTTAAGTACTGTCGAGACAATGTCGAGACTAGTCGAGTAAAATGTGTGCTCGACTTTACTGGTCGAGCACAAAAACTGGTCTTTTCAGACTCGGAGCAGTTTGTAGTGTATTGCTGTATACCACCCACAGTTACACAAACAAACATATTAGTACATTCTGACAACATAGATAATTTACTGGACAGCATAGGTCATTCTATCAGGTCTAAGGGCTCTCATCGTACACAGTTTCTAACAATGATAACTTACTTGACAGCATTGGTCATCCTATCAGGTCTAAGGGCTCTCATCATACACAGTTTCTAACAATGATAACTTACTTGACAGCATTGGTCATCCTATCAGGTCTAAGGGCTCTCATCATACACAGTTTCTAACAATGATAACTTACTGGACAGCATAGGTCATCCTGTCAGGTCTAAGGGCTCTCATCATACACAGTTTCTAACAATGATAACTTACTGGACAGCATTGGTCATCCTATCAGGTCTAAGGGCTCTCATCATACACAGTTTCTAACAATGATAACTCACTTAACAGCATAGGTCATCCTGTCAGGTCTAAGGGCTCTCATCATACACAGTTTCTAACAATGATAACTTACTTGACAGCATAGGTCATCCTATCAGGTCTAAAGGCTCTCCTCATACACAGTTTCTAACAATGATAACTCACTTGACAGCATAGGTCATCCTATCAGGTCTAAGGGCTCTCCTCATACACAGTTTCTAACAATGATAACTCACTTGACAGCATAGGTCATCCTGTCAGGTCTAAGGGCTCTCCTCATACACAGTTTCTAACAATGATAACTCACTTGACAGCATAGGCCATCCTGTCAGGTCTAAGGGCTCTCATCATACACAGTTTCTAACAATGATAACTTACTTGACAGCATAGGTCATCCTGTCAGGTCTAAGGACTCTCACCATACACAGTTTCTAACACTGATAGCTTACTTGACAGCATAGGTCATCCTATTAGGTCTAAGGGCTCTCATCATACACAGTTTCTAACAATGATAACTTACTTGACAGCATTGGTCATCCTATCAGGTCTAAACAATGATAACTCACTTGACAGCATAGGTCATCCTGTCAGGTCTAAGGGCTCTCATCATACACAGTTTCTAACAATGATAACTTACTTTACAGCATAGGTCGTCCTATCAGGTCTAAGGGCTCTCATCATACACAGTTTCTAACAAAGATAACTTACTTGACAGCATTGGTCATCCTATCAGGTCTAAGGGCTCTCATCATACACAGTTTCTAACAATGATAACTTACTTGACAGCATATGTCATCCTGTCACGTCTAAGGACTCTCATCATAAACAGTTTCTAACCATGATAACTTACTTGACAGCATATGTCATCCTATCAGGTCTAAGGGCTCTCATCATACACAGTTTCTAACAATGATAACTTACTTTACAGCATAGGTCATCCTATCAGGTCTAAGGGCTCTCATCATACACAGTTTCTAACAATGATAACTTACTTGACAGCATTGGTCATCCTATCAGGTCTAAGGGCTCTCATCATACACAGTTTCTAACAATGATAACTTACTTGACAGCATTGGTCATCCTATCAGGTCTAAGGGCTCTCATCATACACAGTTTCTAACAATGATAACTTACTGGACAGCATAGGTCATCCTATCAGGTCTAAGGGCTCTCATCATACACAGTTTCTAACAATGATAACTCACTTAACAGCATAGGTCATCCTGTCAGGTCTAAGGGCTCTCATCATACACAGTTTCTAACAATGATAACTTACTTGACAGCATAGGTCATCCTATCAGGTCTATGGGCTCTCATCATACACAGTTTCTAACAATGATAACTCACTTGACAGCATAGGTCATCCTATCAGGTCTAAGGGCTCTCCTCATACACAGTTTCTAACAATGATAACTCACTTGACAGCATAGGTCATCCTGTCAGGTCTAAGGGCTCTCCTCATACACAGTTTCTAACAATGATAACTCACTTGACAGCATAGGTCATCCTATCAGGTCTAAGGGCTCTCATCATACACAGTTTCTAACAATGATAACTTACTTGACAGCATAGGTCATCCTGTCAGGTCTAAGGACTCTCATCATACACAGTTTCTAACACTGATAGCTTACTTGACAGCATAGGTCATCCTATTAGGTCTAAGGGCTCTCATCATACACAGTTTCTAACAATGATAACTTACTTGACAGCATTGGTCATCCTATCAGGTCTAAACAATGATAACTCACTTGACAGCATAGGTCATCCTGTCAGGTCTAAGGGCTCTCATCATACACAGTTTCTAACAATGATAACTTACTTTACAGCATAGGTCGTCCTATCAGGTCTAAGGGCTCTCATCATACACAGTTTCTAACAATGATAACTTACTTGACAGCATTGGTCATCCTATCAGGTCTAAGGGCTCTCATCATACACAGTTTCTAACAATGATAACTTACTTGACAGCATATGTCATCCTATCAGGTCTAAGGGCTCTCATCATACACAGTTTCTAACAATGATAACTTACTTGACAGCATAGGTCATCCGGTCAGGTCTAAGGGCTCTCATCATACACAGTTTCTGTAATGAATTCTTGTTCTTCCATTCCTGTGGAAATTTCTCCTTCTCTGGAGCTTCACTTTCCACAAACTTCTTCCATCTTTTAGCAGAACCTTCTATGTCTCTGTCTAAATTTCTGAATTCTTCCATATTCACAAGAGCCTAAACAATAAAATCATAGCTGAACTTAGGTATTATTTTAATATTACATGCCATGTTTAATTTGTACACAGTAAGCTGAACTATAACATAATGATTACCAGTAGGGCATAATTTTGTGCATAAAATCAGTTTTACAGCAATGCTATTGTGGTTTTGATTTGTTTTTATACATTTATTACTTAAATGCAAAACAAAAAGTTCTTGTCAGAAAATATATAACTGTCTCGTTGGTCTTGTCATAGCATGCTTACCTCAAGAAATTTTGTTGATTTCTATTTTTTTTTTTACAATTGTTTGATGAAAATTTTCAGTACTTTCTTATATTTTATATTTTTCTTCATTAGTCATATCTCTATATCTGTTTGAAATGCAATTTAGCCCTAAGTACTGACCTTGATTCCTCCCCAGCTGTGATTATTCATGAAGTCAACAGGACTGATAATATTTGGTAGTGATGGAAACCTCAACAGGAAATCTAACTCTATGGGATCAATGTCCTTGGACATCAACAATATCTACAAAATAAAAATGTTACCCTGAGCAATGCAGAAAAAATTGGTGAAAGTACATATGATAGAATTTCTAAAATCGAAACATCCTCTATAAAATTAGAGAGCTATGTTCTAAGCATCCAAGTAAATGTTAACACTAAATGCAGTATTTAATTAAATTACACTCAAGATTTAGCGCAGGATTTCAGATATGATAATAAACAATTCCTGACATTAGCACTACAAAAGTCTAAAAGTCTGAAAAGACCATTTTTTGTCTTAATTTGCATGAACTTTTACTCGACATTCTCCAAAAGTATGACTTGTGTCTTAATTTTTCTTGTCAAATTCTCATTTATATTAAATTTGTATGAAATTTACTCGACATATTCTCGACATTCTGAATATGGTCTTAAAATTTCTTGACAAATTCTTGACATTTGAATACTGTCTTGAAATTTCTCGACATATTCTCGACATTCTTATTTTTTCTCAGTTTGGCTTGACATATTCTGAACATTTTGAATCGTGTCTTAAATTTACTTGACAGTTCTGAGTTTTACAAATCATGACCAATATTCATGATATAACTTTAATCTTTATTTCTCTTTATATGATATACTGTTGTTTTAAGTTACACTTCTTTACAACAAAAATAAAAGTTGGGCATGTAAAATAATTGAAAATTTGGGTATATAAATATTTTTACAAATGCAAATATGGCTATGAAATCTAAAGTATAAAATAATTCAAATGTGGGTGTGTTGATATAAAACAATTTCAATGTGTGTTTTTAAATAATTACAAATTTTGATTCCTAAATCTTATAAATTAAATGATTCAAACCAATCATACTGTAGACATATTTCATTCTACATTCATAATATTCAATGTTGATATGGTAAATAATTATTATACCAAAATGTGGTTTATATAAATAGCAAATTATGATGATATACAAATCATTCATTTAACAGAAGAAAAATTTGTGTAATGTCATCTGTTGGAATATATTAAGTATTACACATGGACAGGATGTTCCCCATAAAATTAAGGTATTCCACAACCCAGAGTACAGGCAACTGTCAAATAGAAGTTATTGCTTTACCTGTAATCAGCCATACAACTAATCAGTTGACCGACCATGCCACTACAATTTAAAAAGTTTGTTGATAGATGAAAATGAAAATCATCATTTTGATGAAAAAAAATTGAATTGAAATGGATTTTCTTCATCAAAATTATGAAGTTAATTATTTTAACATAAAAACAAATTGAATAATTCCCAATGATTAAAATAAAATTATTATCTACTCCAGGAATAATAAAAAAAATGTATTTATAATCATGATAATGGGTCCCATCAATGATTTCTATAGAAATCATCGGTCTTATGAAATGGTTCTCAAACAGACATGCATAATATAGATCTAAACATTTTTTTTCTTTTCAGGAAGGAGTTATCACAAATATTTATTTTTGATAAAAAATTATAAAATTCAACACTCAAATTTGAATAAAAAATGTTTTTGGGTTGTTCTAAAAAATGAATAAGGTTTTTGAATCAAGATGGGAACAAATTCTTTGACTTAAACGAAAGCCCCCCCCCCCCCCCTCTTTTTTTAGCCACACAAACCCAAAAGATGAATTGTGGGGTCCAAAAGAGATACAAGACACCTATTTTAGTAAAGCAAATTTGACTGGCAGTTTTGCGAATGGCAAAAATCTAAATGCTGTTTGTCAATACCTTCGACTTATATTCCAAGTGAAAACAATTACTTAAATGTTTAATAAAAATAAATCAAAATTAAACTACATGGGGGATTATTCAGGGTATTCCAACTTAGTTGCACCAAAAGGGTATCTTACTATACCAAATTAATCCTTGATTCTTCAAAGTTTAGTTTAGCCATAATAAAAAGGAGTATATAACAGCAATAGAATGTCATAAACAGTGCAGAATAAGTCTTTTCACATTTCAGGCGAAATTTATACTGTTGAGATAGTGTCAAGACATATTTAAGACTGTCAAGAACGTGTCGAGACATATTCAGACCTTATTTAGAATGTCAAGAATATGTCGAGACATATTCAGACATTATTAAGAATGTCAAGAATATGTCAAGACAGATCGAGACAAATTTAAGACAGTCAAGAATTGGTCGAGACTAATCCAGACTCTTATCAGATGATACAGGAAGTGTCGAGAAATTTTAAGACAATGTTCATACTGTCAAGACACTTGTCAAGAAAAATCAAGAACCTTATTAGACAAATTCATACTATGTCAAGAATTTTTAAAAAATCATTCAGACAAATTAAGAATGTCGAGTAAAAATTCATGCAAATTCAGACAAAAACTGGTCTTTTCAGACTTTTTGACTTTTGTAGTGTAGTGACTTAAAGTTCAAAGCATAGTTTGAATTCTTAGATTTTTAAACCTGTCCATTCTCAACCAAACAGTTCTAGGCAACAGGATAGAAATCTTAATATCAGTACAAATTTTTTTGAAGAGTAAATAGTTTTGATTGAAATTTCTGCTGTGTTATGAATGAAACTGAAAAGTCAGCATAAGAACTAAGAACATTTTCAGTCTTTCAGTCAATCAAAATCATTTCATTCTATTTCAAAGTCTTCAACAGCTCATTGTTTAATGGACTGAAGAGATCTGGACTGTTTACAAACAAAAAATCTAAACAGTATGGTATTTACTGCAATTAAAATATTTAAATTTAATACTTAAAAACACTGAATCTCTTTATATGTTGAGACATTTCAGAAAAGTTTTTCAATTTGGAAAAAAAGAGGTGCTTCTGAGGGACAAGTTGTGTAAAATCTTGTTCTAAGCTCTCTCAGTTAGGTCATCTATCTTTATAGGCTCTTATTCATGGAAAAGTCTTACTCACATAGAGTAATTCTTCATAACTGTATTCTTGTGACAATGCTTAAATTACTAATGCTTAATCTGAAACCAAAACTTACCTGGAATGTCATTTGAGCTGTAAAGGTAATCTTGTCCCTTTCAAACAGACCTCTAGCTGTATATATAAATACACAGAAGGTAATGCAGTCAATCAGATTCAGCACTCTTGTCTTAATGTCATCAGACTTGTCAGACTTGTCGATAGCATTCTCAAACACCACTTTGAAGGCCTAAAATCAACAAACATATTTTACAGTTACAATATAATAGCTGTATTCTACCTATGGAATATTAATTGTACCCAATTCATGTATAAGATATATGAATTGTTCAGTGCTTGCTTTAAATCAGTTTTACTGTGAACATGGATATTTTTGTGTGATCTCGAAATTAGCAGAAATTCAGCCCTCCACCACAGAGAGATTTGATTTATTGTATTGAGATCATTTAGAAATACATCCATGAAGTCATCAATGGAATATGTCATTAGTATTACAAGGCTATCTTACCTTTAGTGAGAACTGATACATTGGATTGATGGTATTGAGATCATTAAGGATGAAGTACATGAGAGATGCCCTTGTAGCTGCTGGTCGGTATAGTTCTCTAGCTGTGTTGATATCTATCTCTGTTCTTTTTGATTGCTCAGCCTGAACTTCTATTTCAGCTGCTGTTCTCTTTGTTTTCTCTAGGTTTTCCACTAATTCATAATCTCCAAGGAAATTACCTGAAAAAAGATGAATGACATTCTGTCTAAGAAATTGTTAAAAACTAAATCATTTAAATCAATTAGATAGCTACACTTCAATTTGATTATTATTGTTTAGATTTTTTTTAAATATGACATCTAATAATAGTGAAAAATATATATTACTGTGGATTCATTTATTTTCGTGGTTGCCAATTCTCGTGGATTGAGGAAAATTTGCATTTTCATGGATATTAAATTTCGTTTATTTTGGCAAAGTCTGCATACATTACTTTAGAAAATTTGTAATCGTTGAACATTTAAATTTGTGGTTCCCCTGTACCCACGAAATCCACGAAAATTGGTATCCATCGAATATTAATGAATCCACAGTACACAGTACTGTGAATCAGAAATTAGTGCAATACTTATATAAGAGCACATTATTTATAACTCTCATTGTAATTCTGACTATGCAAATTTTAATACCAGATAGATCACAGCATTAATATCCCTTCCCCTTTCCCCAAGAGACAAGTAACACTAATTTTTTCTCCCTTTTGTCCCTCTGACCTTGGCTGCTACCATTTGACGTTAAATACTTATTAATGCATGCATTAATTTCTAACTTCAATATCATATAAAACAAAAATAAAGTGATGCAGTATGATTGTCAAAGAGAAAACTCTCCACCAAACACTAAAGGACAAAGATGTCAACAACCACAGGTTATTGTACAACAATAAGCAAAACCCATACCATATCGTAAGCTATAAAGGAAACGGGATAACAAAATGTGAAATAATTCTGAAAAAAACCCAGTCTGATTTAAGCACAGTTTGTTACAAACCTTCAGCAGCTGATAATCTAGCAAGCAAATTGTCTTCAAGTTCCTTCAGAGAGATCTTAAACTGGTTCTGTTGCCTGGTTAGATCTGATTTTAATTTCTCCAAGTCTGGCCTCTCTTTGATAACGACATCAGCTAACAACTGATCCTCTAAACCATCTCTAGTCACAGTAAAATTAATAAGAGTTGTCTGTGCCTGCATCTCAGGTTGGTAGTGCGGATTGGCTAACTTGGTTTGTAGAATCAAACGAAAATCAATGCTGTACTCCACCTCTTTATCTCCAATCATGATAGCACGACCTTTCTTTATTGTATTCCGTCCAAGAAGTGGATCAAGTACTGGGTCAACTGATTCTCCAATATTTTCCAGCAAGACAACGTCACCAGATGATATGGCCCTTTCTAATGCATCTAAATACCCTTTCTGTCCCAGATGTATGACCTTCAAATCTGATCCATATTTAGTTTTAATCCACTTTACACCTTGCAGCTGAGGATCAATCATTAGCGGCCATCTTTCACAGTTGGTCAAAATCGTGGCATTTTCTGTGGACATCCTGTCACTGGGCAGACCTTCATTATTCCATGAAGCAATCTGGGCATCATCAGTCAACAAACTTAATGGATCTAGTCCTTCCAAAACGGGAATAGGATGGGCCAGTCCTTTCAAGAATGGGGTCCAGTATTTCTCTATCAGATCCTGCCGGTATTGTTTGGTGAAAGCTCCCAAGTAAGATACGAATGCAGAAGTCATCAACACATCACCGACCAGTGTTTTCTCTTGCTGTTTAAAGTTTTCAATAGACTCCGCCCATCTGACATTTTCCGATGACAAACCACTAACCAAACGATTGGCTAGTTCGATTGTTTTGGTTGTATTATCAGCTTCTTGTTGACATCGTAGCTTCTCGGCTGTTGCCTCTTCGAATTCTCCCATCAGGGTTCCTAGTTCACTTTCAAGGTCATTAATTTTTGATGTGATTGCCTTCAGTTTGTGTTTTGCGGCAGACAACTCTGCATTGGCACCCTCTAGGGCCATACGTTTTGGTTCAACAGCACAGTATACTTTATAGTACCTCATAATATTTATAACCCATGAACATAGTCCTGATGCAGCAAATGATTTCCCTTTAACTAAGTCAGGGTCAAACTCAGGGTCAACCAAGTACGGCTCTACTGCCCTTTGGCAGTTCTCATGGACATGGTCTTTGTCATAATTGATCAAATTTTCCAAGAAGAGATCAATCTGATATAAATAAAACAATCACTATGAATATGAATATTTTTTCTCCTTTCTACATTATATAAATTACATAAAGATAAAATGAGTTCTTTTCATCAGTATTAAATATATTATCAATTTACACGTTTGTTCTTTTATAGGTGGATAAATGTGAACACCATATTCAGGATATAAAGAAAACCCTTTCCAATGCAATAAACATGTACATTTGTACTACACCTACATTGTAAGCATGATTTTAAAGATGCTTGCTCGCATGATAGAAGTCTACACAGAGGATTTAAACACAGGAGTAGGACCAGGAAGGCTTGATTTTGGTTCTAAATATCAAACTATTTCATATCTCACAAAAAAATCAATATCAACATTCAACAAAATGCATTACAAAACATTTTTTCTGTCAACTCTACGTTTAAGACAAGTGTTGATAGCTTGAAATGTATCCTAATTTTTTCTGGTTTCAGCCAAATTTACAGCAATTTAATTGTCTTTTTCCTTTTATGAAACATTGGCTAAACCATGCCACCATATTTTAATAGAATGGCATTTTTAGGTGTGATATACATTCATTCAAAATTTCAAATAAGATGTTGGTCCATGCATGTTGCTAATGTCTTCTAAAGCAAAAATCATCTGCAATGAAGCAAACAAAAAAATCTAAAAATTTTGAATGTCATTATCAATATATCATCATTATTAAAGTAATTATTTGAAGAATGTTGATTTTCTATTTGTCAGACACTATTACCCACTTTGTTATTAGATGTTTTTGATAGTAAATTAATCTTTCAAGGAATTTTAGGGACAATATTTCCCCTTTGTGAACCTACTTCATAGTAACTTTTAGGTTTGACTCAATATCACAAACTATTGTAATTGAGGTAGGCATTCTATCACAATGCCTTCAATGGTTTTGGACTGTTGACATACAAGTGAGAGGTTTAGCTAGCTTTAAAACCAAGTTTAATCCATCATTTTTTACATAAGGAAATGCCTGTACCAAGTCAGGAATATGACAGTTGTTTTCCATTCGTTAGATGTGTTTGAGCTTTTGATTTTGCCATTTTATAAAGGACTTTATGTTTTGAATATCCCTTGGAGTTCGGTATTTTTGTTATTTTACTTTTTTCTATATATAACTTACTTTATTCATCATGGTTGCCTTTGCCATTTTCCAGCTTTTGTCTTTTGGTACTCTACCACCAGGAGCCAGCAGACACATAACAGCTGCTACTACATTCACAACAGCAGGAGGAGGAGAAGAAAAGGATTTCAGCTCTGTTAAATTGTTCTATAAATGTATATGCAAAATATGTACAGTTTGAAAAAAAAAAATTTATTTGTACCATTTTTAGAAACATGACAAAATGTGAGGCTCACTGAGATTTTTTTCTGCTTTGTAGTCAGTACAAATAAATTTTGTATTTTTCATTAATGTACATAATTTTTTTTAATCCTGCAATTAAGCTTGATGGCTTTTTGTCATAGTAATCGACATTGCTTACATGCAGACCAGAAAGAAGACCTGAAATTGTTCTGTAAATATATATATTAAGTAAAACAGCAACATGGTCTACATGGCATAAATATTTAATTAGACAGATTGCTGTATTAAGAACATAATTCTGGAAACAATATGTAATTGATATTAGATGGTTGTAATTATATCCAGAAATACAGTCAAACCTGTATTAAGCAGTCACTCTTGGGGAAGTATTAAAGTGACTGCTCAAGAGCGACCTTTTACCAGAGGTTCCACAAAAATCTGATTCCGACATTGCCTGTGCCCATGATCATGGCAATTTGTTTTAGTGTTTTCAATCGGTAGAGTTATTGTTCTTTTAAGCAGTAAAATGAAAAATGCCGGATTCTGGTGCTGAAAATTTGAAGAAAAATTCGAAATATGTTAATATTTTTGGAGAAATAAGTCGTTGATACGGTTTTCAAGAAAACTTGAAAGAGTGGAACACGGGGGATTCACAAATTCACATTCTATTGCGCGATCTTGATTGCAAGTGGTTTTCGACTTTTAATTTGACTTCAATACTGATAACATATATTTTTCTTCATAATTATTTTGGTAGTTAAAAACATTAAAATGACCATTATTAAAAGTTAAAATGATGATTTCGTGTGGAAATTAGGTGTCACATCAAAAGTCCTACGACCAAAAGAAACATAAAAGTACAAAGACAAATAACGGTGAAACTAAAGTAAAATAAAGAGATACACAACTTTAGCACCTAGAATCTATAACTCATGACCAACTTGTATTATTTGTGAAGTAGATACTGAATATTTATCTATTTCTCGAAGACTTATCAATTTTGCTCGTTTTTTTTTCAATCATGTGAGACTAAAATACCCATCCAAAAAATCTTTTGCTGCACTTCCTTATGACAGTTTGGAAAAAAAAACATGTGTTTCAACAAGGTTTTAATGAAGCCGTTATGGATACCTTATTAAGAGTATTCAAAGCATTCTCAGCAGCAGTCAAAGCAGGTTCTGCTTTAGACAGATCTCTTTGACAATCCTGTTGTTTCTTTGTGACATCTTCGTTGATTTTCTGAACTTTCCTCTCCTCTTCATCAGCTATAGCTTTCTCTGTTGACACCCTTTCTGTATCCGAGCCTACTACTGCTAACAATTTGTTGGTTTCATCAGTTTTCTGTCCAAGTTCAACCTCCTGAGCAGCTAGTTTGGCCTTAAGATCATCAACCTTGTGAAAAGAGAATAAACAGTAAGTATTCATGAAAAATATATGCTTTCAGGTAAATGTGATAAAAATATATTTAACGTAACTTATTTTAATATTAAGGAAATGTTCATATCCTTATCAAACTTTACATATCTAACAACAAAATTAAAAAAATAAAAAAAATAATTTATGGATTCTCACAAAACAGTACATTCTTGATTTTACACATTAAGGTAGATCATCGGTATATATTTTTTGAGATAGAATTTTCTTATACTTTGCCAAAATGAAGATTTTACTATGCTTTTTTCAAAAATATAACTAGAGGCTCTAAAGAGCCCGTGTCGCTCACCTTGGTCTTTGTGCATATTAAACAAAGGACACAGATGGATTCATGACAAAATTGTGTGATGTGTTTGTAGATCTTACTTTACTGAACATTCTTGCTGCTTACAATTATCTCTATCTATAATGACTTGGCCCAGTAGTTACAGTGGAAAATATTTTGTAAAAATTTACAAAAATTTACAAAACTTATGAAAATTGTAAAAAATTGACTATAAAGGGCAATAACTCCTTAAGGGGTCAATTGACAATTTTGGTCATGTTGACTTATTTGTAGATCTTACTTTGCTGTACATTATTGCTGTTTACAGTTTATCTCTTAGTATCTATAATTATATTCAAGATAATAACCAAAAGCTGCAAAATTTTCTTAAAATTACCACTTCAGGGGCAGCTACCCAACAACATGTTGCCTGATTGGTCTGAAAATTTCAGGGCAGATAGATCTTGACATAATGAACAATTTTATCCTTGTCATATTAGCTCTAAATGCTTTGGTTTCAGAGATATGAGCCAAAAACTGCATTTTACCATATGTACTATTTTTTAGCCATGTCAGCCATCTTGGTTCGCAGGCTTGGTCATCGGACACATTTTTTAAACTAGATACCCTAATGATGATTGTGGACAAGTTTGGTTAAATTTGTCTTAGTAGTTTCAGAGGAGAAGATTTTTGTAAAAGATTACAAAAATTTACGAAAACTGGTTAAAAATTGACTATAAAGGGCAATAACTATTTAAGGGGTCAACTGACCATTTTGGTCAAGTTGACTTATTTGTAGATCTTACTTTGCTGAACATTATTGCTGTTTACAGTTTATCTCTATCTATAATAATATTCAAGATAATAACCAAAAACGGCAAAATTTCCTTAAAATTACCAATTCAGGGGCAGCAACCCAACAACAGGTTCTCAGATTCATCTGAAAATTTCAGGGCAGCTAGATCTTGACCTGATAAACAATTTTACCCCATGTCAGATTTGCTCTAAATGCTTTGGTTTCAGAGATATAAGCCAAAATCTACATTTTACCCCTATGTTCTATTTTTAGCCATGGCGGCCATCTTGGTTGGTTGGCCGGGTCACGGGACACATTTTTTAAACTAGATACCCTAATGATGATTGTGGCCAAGCTTGGTGAAATTTGGCCCAGTAGTTTCAGAGGAGAAGATTTTTGTAAAAGTTTACGGACGACGGACGCCAAGTGATGAGAAAAGCTCACTTGGCCCTTTGGGCCAGGTGAGCTAATAAAAAGTATGGGTCACCGTGCTATTTTTCAAGCTATGAGTCGTTGAAAATTGCCTAAATCTGGTTAGATTGTTCATGAAAAAACACATTTGTATGCATAAAAAGAAATCTATGAGATAGAATTTTGAAATAAATTGTGAGAAGATAGGTTTTGTAACATGTTTTAAGAAAATAAAAAGAAAAAATGGTGTCACCGAACTTGTTTTCTTGCTACAAGTAAAAATTAAAAATTTCCCTATCAAGCCAGTGTAATTTTTTACTAAATGAGTTATCTCCCCTTAAATGGCTTAGTTGAAAAAAATGATTCCAAAACACAAAATTTAATATTTGTTGGAATATTATGAATAATACAATTAATTACCAAGTTTTCTTTAAATAAATAAACAGTGTGACAAGTAAATTGCAAATCTGTCTCCTAATTTGCAGATTTGGGCAAATAACTAGACCGATTGTGTACTGCGATTATAAAATCCAAGATGGCGGTATACCATGAATCTACCTTAATATATTGTTGACTTATTCAATTAAAGCATAAATGATTACGGTAAACAGGTACATTTTTGCAGCAGTTTTATTTTCACTACTTTCCTGGTAAGAGTTGATATGCAAAAAAAACTACAGTGAATATTTCATTGGAACTAAATTCATAGGTACTAAGACCATAAATAAATGAATACCACCATGAAATATCAAATTCAAATTGATTTGGAAATCTTGAAAAATAAGACAGCACAAAAATTTCCGGTTGTGCAGTATGAAAAAAGAGAGGGAGGAAGAAGATACAATGGCCAAGAAAAAAAGACAAAAAAGTTTACAAACACTAAACAAAAAACAATAGATTGATTTTCAGGAATCCAATCAAAAACTAGGGGTGAAATCAAGTGCTCATCCTGTAGGTTAAGCAGTTTATTTTTTTCCAGATAACATTTGTACAATATATACCTGTGTAGCAGTACTTCTTAACTTCTCAATACCATTTTCAAGACGAATAATTTTCTTCTGCAGCTCATCATTCTTCTTTGTCAGTAAATTCTGATACAGTTTGATCTGTTCCAGGAAACTTTTGGGAGTGGTGTAATTGTAACGTCTTTCGTTTTGAAGATACTGCTGACTAGTCTCATTCACAGACTGGTGCACAAATCCCATGAACTTTGACACTGATTCTCTCATGTCATCCTAAAAGTTTTAAAATTAATAAGTATACCCAAATAAAATTTTGTCAGAATTATTGATGATACAAGTATTTATTTAGTTAATCTATAGGATAGTTTCAGTGCTTTTCTCCATATGTTATAAAAGAGGGCAGGCCTCACTGACTTTGAGATCAAGAACAGCAATAAAAGCACTGTTCCTTTGCTTTTTGTGTGTTTTTTGCTGTGCATGTACTGATTTTGTGTCATGGATGGATACCCCGTATCCTTTGTTTTTCTATTATACACTTTTCTGTAAAATAAAGCAGTCTTATTTTCTTTGATAGGTATTTATCAATAACAAAAGAAATATAAGAATTTGGCTTTATTTTTTTCACAACAGTATTAGCTACTAGAACTTAAAATTTCACTAAGGACTATTGTAAAAAATACAAAATTTACAGCGATTGATCATTATATTCTTCATGAAACTTAAATTCAAATATCAATGGTCCATTGTAATCACAATTTTGAATAAAGAGCTGCGCCATGAGCGCATGGTATGCCCGTCGCTTTTTCAACGAATAAAGTTCCATAACTCCTCAATGTCATATTAGAAATTTATAAAAAAAAAACTAAAAGGAGCTTATTTCAATAGATAAAAACCAATCACCAAAGTGTCCAAAAACTGGAAAATCCCCTTTTTTCATGAATAAAATCCCATCATATTTTATTACATTCTGAATTGCATGGATTTTCTCTCATTAGTAGTTCTCCATTAAGACATCTAATCAAAACACCAGGATGTTACTTGAGTATGACTGATGGAACAAGACCTCAAATACAACATGCAAGTTTGAGTGGTATAGCAATTGTATACAAAATCAATGATCAACACACTCAGAAAACTTAAACATGCAATGTTAACAATTGAATGGAAAATCAAACACATGTGTGTTACTTCTCCTTGCCTTAATAAGAGGCAAGAAAATGAAAAAGATGGTCCAAACAAACTGATTATACCAAGGTGTATTATTTTCTGAAAAAGAGGCTACTTACAGAAAGTAATTCCATATCTTCCAAGAATCTAGCTGATACAGAATTCAGTGCCTCTAGTGGCCATTCATGGAAAACATCTATACTAGTACAGTTAGTAATGGCTGGGAATTTACGACTTCTGACACGTAATGTGGAACCAACAGGTGAGAAACATAAAACCACCTGAAAAAAAAATGACCCAGCATATAATTTTTGTGAAACTTAACATTTATTCTAAGGGATCATAGATTTATTCTTACGAGGAAGCTCGGAGCATGCTCGGAGGATGCTCAGAGCTTTTTTAGTAGGCTCTTCTCAGCAGTTTATGTGATAATAATTATCATGATCCATTAAGATGTCAATCAAAACTGTAGCACTTCTATAATAAGGAAGATAGAGCATTATAGAGGAAGCTCAATTAACACCTGTGTAAACATCTGGTCTATTCAAATAAATCTTGAATGAAATTTTACAAAACTATAAAATAGATAAGAAATTCTTCAATAGTACTGTACAATGCTTGGCAAGAAATATCAAGTCTTCACAGGAAGATAATGTTTTTAAAATATTTTCTTATTTATAATCATTCTTTTTCAATACAAAAAAAAATACTCAAATTTTATATTTAAAATATAAATATAGCTTAATTAAATTTATACTACATAAAATTAAACATAAAAGTCACCAAAGACAAAAACTATGGTAGTAGATTTATAATCATTTGTTAAACTTTATATGCAACAGCAAACTTTAGTTCTTTAATAGAAAATGATGGCTACTTTGGGAAAAAGTTGTAATTCATAGGCTGGGTTGAAAGACTGTTCACAGTATAATAGTTATGATAAATTGATTTTACTTCAGCAATCCTCTATATCTATTTCTTGAATAAATTTTTTGATTTTGTTTTTATAATAATTAAATGGATTCAGTGGACCAAAAACTTTACAACAAAAAATTATACTTTTTCTGGAATCCCTTTTGTCTTTTATTTTAAATTCTAGTTCTTCATTACATTGATTTGTATAAAAAATGTCAACTTATTTTTTCTAGTATCTCTTTTAAGCTTAATCAAAATGCAGAAAGTCATAATTACATTTGATATCCCTGAATGATAATTGCAAGATTTCCATTTCATATCAACCTCCTTTTTCTATTTATATATGTGAACAGAAGAGCAAATCATCATAAAATTGAGAAGTCATTTACACAATCTATTTTGCTGTCTGCTTAAAATTTAGAATTTTGATTCATTACCCTAATGCTTTAAGTCAATTGAATACCAGTTTAAAACATACTGTTATTTTATACTATGTATTATAACTGCGGTTAAAAATTCTTGTAATAATTTATTTCAAGTTAGGAAAATGGAATTTAGAAGTTTTAGTGTTTGAGGCCTAGAGAACAGGCAATTTTCTTGAATAATTTGCAGACTTGACTTATATATTCTAGGTCCTTCACTTACAAATATTTAAAGATGTATAGTAATTATAGTTCAATTTGGTTTGCTTAAAAGCATTTTTGATTCAGCATACGACTCTCATGACTGTAGGAACATGACAATAGGTAGTCACGACTATACCACTTTAGTTTAGGGGTTAAATTATTATTTATCTACCATATATAAAATAATCCAATATCATCTGTTTCTATCTTATTTTTTTATAACTGTATTTAAAATTGGAATCAATTATTATTGCTGAAGATGTTTTTTATTTAACAGCATACAGCATTTTAATATTAACAAAATATTTAATATGGAGCATAAAAGAGGATGCTCTAAGATAATTATCCCTACTGAAACTGTAAAATGGGTTATTCCCTCAAACTATAATGTTTATATAATGTATCATGCTGTGATATAAACCTTTTATAATAATGTTTTGCGCCTACACAGATTTCTAAACAGTATTATTGGACAGACTGCAGAGTGACTTGTATCAATATTTACTTTTAAATTGTGTGATCATATTTTACTTGTATGAATTGAATATTAAATAACATAAAACAAGCAAAAAATAATTAATTCAACTCCAAACAAATGCCACAATGTCCTATACCAATGAACATAATTATGCCTGAAATTCTTACTAACTTTGATTTATGTTTTTTTTTTTTTTTAATTATACTCATGAAAGCTAAAAAGAAAAAGAAATAACTAGTTTGAATCTTATAGAAATTTTTTTTAGTATATATATTTATATTTTTAGGATCTGTTTTATATTGATAGTATGTACTGATAAAGGCCTATATAAAATGACTTTCTACATACAGGCGTTAACTGAGCTTCCTCTACATTGCTTTACTTTCCTTTTGATAGTTGTTTATATATATTAAAAAGTCATTCGAGAAAAGGAAATAGAGGATTGCTGAACTAAAATCCATTTATTTTACTCCGTTATATTGTCAAAATTCTTTCAGGTGTAATACCACCAAAATATAGTACATTCAGTTTCAAGCCAGAAATGGTTGATTTTTTTTTATATTCCATTTAATTTGACAGTTGTTGGAAATTAACCCTGCATTTCATTGCAGAAAGTTTTTTTTTTGGGTCGTTAACATGTATCTTGGGTGTTTCAAAGCAATAAAAAATTCTATTGGTGTTGCTATAAAATATTTTGGAAATTTAAGGGGACATTGCTACTAAAGCTGGTAAACAGGAAAAAAAAGGGGGAGAGGAATTTGACTGGTTAACTTCTGGTCACGTTTAATATCTTATCTGCAATGAAAAGTTATGTTGTATTTTCACTGTAGTACTGGACAGGATAAAACTTCACTCATGTAGAGTATTTCTTTATTTAAAACATAGATAAATTCATCACATTTAATAAAAAAAGGCAAATTAAACAAAGACTTATGGGGGAAAAACAATTTTATGTTAAATTTTCCTTGCAGTAATTGACAGGATAAAACTTTACTCATGCCAAATTTTTTTATTTAAAACAAAGATGAATTCTACACAATTAAAAAAAAAGTCAATTAAACAGAGACGTACTAGGGGAAAAACAATGGTGATATTACCCCCTCAAACCAGCCTTCCAATAATGAATTACAACTTTTCCTAAAGTAGCCATAATTTTTTATAAAAGAACTAAGTTTGCTATTTTATATATATAAAAAAAAAAACATATTACCATTGTTTAGTTAGGGGCATTACTAAAACAATTATTTTTCAAAATTACCTATGCAATTTATGTTAAAAACGATGCTATATCATATATTACTTCTATTTCATGTATAAGTAACTTATTTTAATATTATTTTTATATGTGTCCATTCATACAGGTTTTAATAGCTTTAACAAATTTTCACAGACATCTGGTTATTTTTCCCATGAAATATAAAACTAATCCTCCTGAAACACTAATTGACTTTCTGAGCCACGCTTCTGGGTCAAAGATTGTCCTCTTGGGACTATTAAAATACCATTTTCCTTTAAAATCTTAATGGTAGACAAATATAAATAGATGGAACCTTGTGATTTAATTTAGGCTTGAAGTTATTTATAATGTGTAATCTAAAACAATAACATATGTTCCTTAAATAATTATAAGTGCTAAGTTTTTCAAAGATGTATAAAATAATTTATAAAAGTAATAATTTTGTCCTCATTTTTAAAGTAACCTTTTATCCCTATACTCATCTCACATTTGATAAATACTTAATTTTATTTAATAAAATTATATAAAATTCTTAAAAACTACATTTAGTCCATGCTACTATTGACATTTAAAATAACTATTGAGTTATTAAACAATTTTTAAAAACGAAAAAAATTATAAGTAACTAAAAAAAAATTTACTTGTTTAGTATCGCCCCCTGACTGTTGTTTGTGCCTTGATGACTTTTATGTAGCATATTATATAGTATAAACTATATCTAAATTATATAATCTAATTATAAAATTTAAAGAATTTTTTTTATTATTAAAAACGAATGGTTATTCAATATAATAAGCTAATATTTTAATGACTTTTACTTTTTGTGGAGACGACATTTCTTTCCAAGCATTTCCCAGTACTGTTGAAGAATTTCTAATCTATTTTATAGTTTTGTAAATTTCATGCAAAATGTATTTGAATATACCAGATGTTTACACAGGTGTTAATTGAGCTTCCTCTATAATGCTTTACTTTCCTTATTATAGAAGTGCTATAGATTTGATTGACATCTTAATAGATCATGATAATTATTGTCACATAAACTGCTGAGAAGAGCCTACTTAAAAAGCTCCGAGCATCCTCCGAGCATGCTCGGAGCTTCCTCGTAAGAATAAATCTATGATCCCTAACCTTGATTTCATTATGTATTATATCTGTATTTCCTTTTCTGCAATTCAACATAACAAATACTATACATCTTTTTTTTTTAATTTATATAAGTTTCAATAATTCTAAAAGATACTAATCCCATAAAAGTATTTAACCTTTTGGGTATGTAGTTGAATTGTCTCCGAATAACCTATTGACGTCATGCAACAATAACTTTTTTAATTATGACGTCAAATTTTTCAAACTGTGATGCAATATTTTGTGGGAACTTGTGTGATTTTAAGTAATGGCTAACAAATTTGCATACAAGAGTAAGTACTTCTATCTATTATTATTATCATACCTTGAGTGTTCTTCTGACTTTATCAATAAAATATTTCCAACAGTTGTCTCTTGAATCTTCCAACCCAGTAGCTCTCACTTCATTACGTATGCTTGCTATTACATTATCAAATTCATCATCTTGAAACAAGTCTGGAATTTCTCCGGAGGCTAAAAGATCGTTGATAAGAACAAGGAACTTCTCATCTGCCACTTGAGCATCAGTCATTAAAAACATCATATTGGCATTCTTTAGTCCTGTTTTGATATATAACTGTCCAAGGTCTGTTTTCAAATCAGTTATTCCATAGCCCTTTTTCAGCTGAATTTGAAACACATCCAAACCACTTATGGAAGCAGCCAATCGTGACAAGCTTTGCTTTCCACTTCCTCCGACTCCTATCAACAATGCATTTCCACGTGGAGCTTCAAGGATTCTGTTTATCCTAGCCACATGCGCCATTGCATCTTCAAATAAAACCAGGTTCATAACAGCATTAAAGTCATTATAACTGTCTAAAGCTTCTTTGAGAATTTTATTCAGGCCCTGCCAACTATCTACGGCATTATATTTTGTATCACCAATCTGATGAGCAAAATGACAGTAAATGAGTGGTTTGACCACTAATTCTTTTTCTTCTATGTCCTGAAAACAATATAAGCATACCATCAAATAATGCAGCAAGATTTACATAGAAAAGCAACCTCATTACCTCATGCTCCCACATAAGGGGGAACCAGAACAATCAATTGTGACCTGCTGGCATAGTTTTTCTAATTTACTTTCAAGTATGTTTTTTAATTTTTCTGAATATAAAACTCCTCTGATGTTTTAAAGACTCAAAACCTTCGTCCATATTTGAAAAGGATCTGACAAAAGCTGAAGGCGCTATCCTGGCGACAAAAAAGTAATGACAAACAGCCATCATACGGGACAAAAACATGTTACTCTACTGAGGTATAACAATCTATTTCTAATCTGCTGGAAGATAGTTATATGTCATGATGAGAAAAAAATGTCACGTCATCAACAAAAACAAGTACAAAGTTAAAATTTTTTTCATACATTCTTTCGCCTCTCTTTTCCTAGTAAAATTATCCTTGCTATTGTTTTTTTTTCTCCATATGAATAAAAAGAGATATAAGGTATACATCAATGAGACATCAATCCATCAACACCAAAAACACAAAAGAGATCTAGAGGTCAACAGATGGTCTCCATGAAGATGCTTGTCTGTACAATATGTCAAGCTCTCTATCACTCCTAGTCTAGAAAAGTTGTGAATAACTTTAACAGAGACTACTATAGATAAGCCTCAATACCAAATTCCCTATCAAATCATCATCATCCACCTTAATACCAAATTCCCTAAGTGATAAAAAAAACTTTAAGATACAACAAATGACAAACATTGATGTGGTTACTGACTTTGGAGAGGCACATAACATTTTGTAGATTGATAAAATAGATTTATGAGATCTGCCTTTTAATCTTAGTCAGTGATATTCATAATCAATAAATTTGAATCAGGACAATACTTTTCACTGCCTTTTAAAATTTATTCATAAGTATCAAATTTTTATGCTGTGTAACATAAAGTTTGCCATTAAAATTAGAACATGGAATTTGAGCAGTGTCATTCCCATAATGAAAGAACAACAAAATGAAACAATAATATCAAATGACAAGTTTTGCTTTCACAAAATGAACAAAAACCTTTGATAGTTTCTGCATGTGTAATTTATTCACAACTTTTTTAAAACTCAGATAATTAAAGAGGGTTGTTGGGTTGTTTAATCATTGACGTATACCCAACATTTTCTTTTATTCATATCTTGAAGCCCTTTTTTCAGGGCGGGTCTTAACATTGGATTTATTGTACAGACATACACCTGGGATTTCAAAAACACCCCCATTCATATACTGAAGTCTGGCGAAAATCCAACCCATAAATATATTTCATGGCAACATCACAACCTATTCATATATATCTCAGTTATCACATATTAAAGTTTTCACAACTTCATTTGATTTAAAAGGATAAAACAGCATATATATACAGACATCTAAACGAAAGATGAAAATTACTGAACAATTGACAATTTAATTTAATTGGTGAAATTGCAACCAATTGATACATTAGACATATCAAAAAAGGGACCAATTCCAAGGACACATCTGTGTATACCTTCATATAGGAAGTGACCCCCCGTTTTTCACACAAAATTTAGAAAAAAATACCTGTTACACTTTACATTTTTGCTAGAATATTGTGGTAAAATATTTTGAAAAACACAATGTACCCGTGCTACAACAACATACCTCAAACTGTCTTTTCAGTAGGTCAGACAGCAGTTTGTCATAAGCTTCCATATCTTTAGTATCTACTAACTTGTCTCTGTAAACACGTTCTGCCTCATGTAACCAAAGCCTGATAAGTTCTGTTTGGGTCTTTGCACATTCTGACTGGGCAAATAGCACTCCCTACAAATATACAAAATATAATGAATATCTTATGGCTGCTACAATATCACAACACAGCAGAGCTCTTGGGATTATATTGGTGTCTCTGTTTGATATGGTGCTTGAATTTGGAAAAGCCATATCTTATACATTTTATTATATACATCAAGTACACATATTGGTGTTTTTCAGGTGGCATAATGTAAAACAGATTTGGGGTTTGATAAAGCCTGTGCAACCATGACTGATATCGATGACATGAAGTCATACAGATTAGGGGCTTAATCATGACTGATTGCCATTGATTGTATTGCACATACAATTTACCTTGTATTTACTACTAAGTGTACAATAAAACATAGTATATTATATCCGCTAGAGAGTTTATTGTGACTTTGCTAGTTTAGGGTGGATTGTCTTAAATAATAAAACAAATGGGTAGTGCAAGCTAATTTCTTTTGTGATGCTATGCTGTCTGCTAAGGGTATTGAAAAATATAACTAAAGTTTATAAAATTTTGTGACACACTATTTGATTTATGATATGTATCCTTTTCCTGTCTATACACAAACACACTTTGGAAATGAAACGTGCAAATATCAAACAAGAAACCATTGTGCAAATTTCTTTTGTGCCACAATATTCCTTTCATAAAAAAAGTGTTCATGGAAAATAACCTTTAGTATTGGAAAGGTTGTCATTTCTTGGAGGAATAATTTAGTAAATAGCCACTGTTCTATAAATAGTGATGTTGCAACATTGTTTTCTAATGAATTTGATACAAAATTGTACACTTGTTCATTTCAATTTTACTAATACCTCATTTTATATAATATGTATGAATTGTTACCCAGAATGCCATTCTTACCTGGAAGATATTGGACAGGTCTCTGAGGTTGAAGATATAATGGAACTTGATGGCAGTTGGAAGGAATGTACTGGTAACCCTGCCATGTAGAGCTAGAGCTGCTGTTATCAAGGGAGAGACAAATCTCTGCACATTACTTGTGAAGTGATTTTGCTGAAGATGTTGTGACAGTATACTGGTATAGATTGTTGTTAGAGCTTCAGTATTGGGGAAGTTCATCGTAAACACACAGAAATGTCGCTAAAATATATGAAATGTTTGTTTGAAATAGCTAATTAATACAAGAGATTTACTTATATTGTGCTTTAAATCTGAAATCTTTGTATTCTTTAGGGAGCAACCATTTAACTTCAAGGGGGGTTATGGTTTTTTGTCTGAGTCAGAAATTTTTTTTGTAGTTTTTCAACGCTTTCAATCAAATTATTTTTTTCAAAATTCAACACTATAAGGTATGGGGAAAATCTGGATTCAGAATATTTTTGTTGTCATCTGCTTGACCACAATATTTTTTTTCATCAAATTGTGGATCAGAATATTTTTTTAGGAAAAAACCATAATCCCCCACACCCCCCTTTAGAAGTTAAATGGATGTTCCTTTAACATTTTAATTTGCAATAAATACTCAAAGAATAAAATGAACTTATTAAAACACTAATTTCAATCTTTAATCTTCAAAAAATTTATTTTCAAAGATTTAGGAGATTATCATAAAATATAAATGTCATATTGGAAATGCATGACCTATAGGTGAAGTACAAACTCACACACAAACTGATCAAGCATTTGATTGTTTTCATTTTTAGCAGATTTTATGTTATAATCAATTAGATTTTACCTGTTTCCTTTATAGCTTTTGTTTGAAACTGAATTATGTTTTGATACCTTGAATACCATATCTTTAATTATATGAGACAAAGAAGAAAGGATATAACAGTATGTTAGACTACTTTGTTGTTAAAATTTTGTCTCTTTCCACAATTTGTTATACTGTAGATTCATATATTGTTTACTGGATATCATTTTTTTTGTGAATTGAGCAAACATTGTATTTTCATGGATTCTTTTTTGTATGGTTTTGCTTAAAGGATGTACTTAGGTCAGGTTTAGGAATTTTTGTCAGATGTTCGGACTCCTTGGTTTTTTTCCTACGATACAGGGTAAAATATTTTGCCCCATTACACCCATTTTTCTTTTCATATAAGACTTCAATAGCTCATAAAAGGTCATGTACCAAAATTAAAGCAGATTCTAGATTTCTTTTCTTTCAATTTGAGACCCAAATAATACCAATGCAAATATAAGGTAAAAGTCCGAGTCAGCCTTTTCCCGCCATTTTTTTTAAATTAAATATCTCAAAAAGGATCTCCATAACCTATCAATATTTTTTAGCTTATTTTGTTCCTTAACTAATGCTCTTCTGACTTAAATATAAGTATAAGTCAGAAGAGTATTAGTTAAGGAACAAAATAAGCTTTTTAATAATCAATTTTAAAATCTAGGTTTTTTTAATTTCACCTAAGTACATCCTTAAGATAGCATACAAGCCTATAGAAATTTAGTTCTTTGATGGACACTGAAAAGGTTCACATATACCCACAAAATCCACAAAAATTGGTACCCCCAAAAATAATGTTAAATCTACAGTAATCTGATGACAATCTTATAAAGAACACTTGAGTTACCATAAAAAAACTAAGAAACAGCAGCCAACTCACCTGTAACCTGGAATCAATGGTGAAACTTCCAGCTGTAGGGTTCATACATGCCACATACTGTGTGTTGTGAATCTCCTTGATAGTTAGCTTAGCTCTATCATACCAATGACCATGATCTATGTGTTGTCTGATCAGTGTATGAGGCTGTACTGTGTAATATTTGTCAACCTGTCAAATAATTATTCAATAAAATGTTATTATATATTTAACGATAATACATTTCATACAATAAAACGAACTATTTGGTGCATCCACTGAAGTAAAGTAAAATATCCCCCACTAGGGACAGTTTGTGCAAATCAACAATTTCAATGTGAAAGGAACATTTATTATTTGATGCATGAATTTACCCCCCAATCGGAAAGATTAATACATTGAAATCTTGAAAAAAGTATCCGATAAAATATTGACCTTTACGGTACATCAGAATCTCTATCAATAACAGACAAAACTGGTTATGGTTCAACCGGTATGAACTATCAATATTATACAGAAACTTGCTTATATTTTTCATCAGTTCCCCTAGGTCTGAAGATGAATACCAAGAAAAGAATCAACATGATATTAGATGAAAGTTAATAACCTCAGGCATATTCATATCATCTACAAAGTAGATCAACCGTCTAGTTCCAGGCGGACCAAAATTCCTTCCAGCCTTCTTCTCCAGGGGTTTCTCCAAAACTCTCTGTAACATGGCAGATGTGGTATAAAAGTTGAATGGTACATTAGCAATCATGTAATCATCAGACAGACTAAGAAGTTTCTCCTGCATCAGAACTGTCTTCCCTGTACCAGCATTTCCCACTAACATCACTGGATGTTTCTTCTCTATCAGCATGTCCAAGAAATACTTGATTCGTGTAGTTTCTGCTGTGTGGACAAGAGCAGCCTGAAAATAGAAATGTTTATTTTTGTATTGGCAAATATTATTACACATCAGCTGAGTGGACAAAAGATGCCTAAAAGCAGAATGTTTATAACATTGTCTGTTGGTAAATGTTATCCGGCTTTTGTGCACTTTTTTTTTTACCAAATAAATCATTTATTGCTAAAATGATTTAGTTGCAAACTAGTTAAAAATATGAGAAAACAATGTCAAAAGATAGATTGATGTCTGGTATTTGTTTACCTGTGAGATGAATTTGTTGACAGGGTATATAAATGGGGCTTTTTTTTTACATTTATTACATGATATGTAACTTTATGACAGGAAAAAGAGGGCGTGTGTTTGGGAAAAAACTGAACCTGGAATTTTTTTTTTCTTTAAGCATACAAAAAATTATGCATTGTCCATGTAACTTATACTAACAGTATTCTAGCTAGGCAAATATTTTTTTTAAAAGTTTTCTGGGAAACACTGTTTTTAAGTAAATTAAACTTTGTGAATTTTGTCAAAATGTCAATTCGGCCTATTTCATCAAATCAGTTCCTCTGAACAAAGTCCATATCTGAAGTAAGGCTGCCAAGGATGTTGATATTGACCATGAACCAAAATTAAAGATTTGTAATGTTATTGAGAGCTCCTCATCAGTATTTGCCCTTGCAAGGACTATAACAACAACAACAAAATTCCAAGTGCTGTTATGTTATGAAAAGTAAAGTCATCCAAAATGAAACATAAACATGATCTGTAAAACACTATCATACTCTTATAAACCAAAAATCAGCTCAACATCTACAGGCATACTGAAAAGAAATCCCAAATACGTTTGTAAATGAGAACGACAGAAAAACAGGCATGAGTAACACTATATGCTCTGTCAACAGAGTAGCAGTTCATAAAAAGAATTGAGGTTCTGTAAAACTTATATTTTATCTTAAATAAGAAACATGATTTAAGTAAATGATATCATATTCTGATTATTATTTATTTCGAAAGTGACCTTATATCGGTGATCAGTCTTTGTTTCATTAATTTTTTACTTCCTCTTACACAACTAAAAGATTTATGACAGTTACCTGGAGAGGAATATCTGGATCCAGTTCAAATTTGGTAACTCGTTTAGTCCATGGTTCACACTTCTTAGTTTCAGTCTCTATGTAATAGTCAAACACTGTTCCTCCTGCTGGGAACTTGACAGTCTTAAACTCTGTTATCCACCATTTAGAAAATTCTACTCTGTAATCTACCAACTGTGAAAAAAATACATTATTATTCATTTGTTCAGTTTATAAACAAGAATGTGTCCATAGTACATGGATGCCCCACTCGCACTATCATTTTCTATGTTCAGTGGACCGTGAAATGGGGGTCAAAACTCTAATTTGGCATTAAAATTAGAAAGATCATATCATAGGGAACATGTGTACTAAGTTTCAAGTTCATTGGACTTCAACTTCATCAAAAACTACCTTGACGATAAAAAAACTTTAACCTGAAGTTGGACAGACGGACGGACGAACGAACGAATGGACGCACAGACCAGAAAACATAATGCCCCTACTACTATCGTAGGTGGGGCATAAAAAGAAGTTTTTGTGCATCAAAGGATGAGACATAGAAGAATACTTGATTTTTCTCTCTCTCAAGAAACCAAACTCAATTAGATTTCAAGATTTTACAGAAACTAAGGCTACAAATGTTTTAAGAGAAACAGTATTAACATGTTCCAATAAAGGTACAACTGTATTAACATGTACCAATAAAGGCACAACAGTATTAACATGTACCAATAAAGGCACACCAGTATTAACATGTACCAATAAAGGCACACCAGTATTAACATGTTTCAATGAAGGCATTACCGTATTAACATGTACCAATAAAGGCACCTGTCCTAAGTCAGGAATCTGATGTTCAGTAGTTGTCGTTTGTTGATGTGGTTCATAAGTGTTTCTCGTTTCTCATTTTTTATATAGATTAGACCGTTGGTTTTCCCGTTTGAATGGTTTTACACTAGTAATTTTTGGGGCCCTTTACAGCTTCTTGTTCGGTGTGAGCCAAGGCTCCGTGTTGAAGACCGTACTTGACCTATAATGGTTTACTTTTATAAATTTTGACTTGGATGGGGGGGTTGTCTCATTGGCACTCATACCACATCTTCTTATATCTAATTACAGTATTAACATGTACCAATAAAGGCATTACAGTATTAACATGTGTCAATAAAGGCAAAATGGTTATATATCATTATCAAAACTAGACAAAGTGATGCCCCCGCACTCCACTCTGAAGTATCTGTATTATAACAAAGTCAGCGTAGGACTTTCTTTTAGATATTATTGTGTCTGGGAGACACAAATGATACAAAGTGTTATTTCAAAGTTCAACTACTGTAAATTCAGAAATTATTGCGAGGTTTCTATTAATGCAAATAATGCGACTGAGCGAGTATCGCAATAATAAGAACTCGCATTCTGACATCTGAGACATATAATGTATTCAGCTTTTCCGGAAATCGCAATAATTAATCTCGCATCTGTGATAATTATTCCAAAATCGCAATAATAAATGCACGCAATAATTTCTGAATTTACAGTATCTCCCAATAGAGCAAATATTAATAAAAATCAAAACCCTGACCACATGCACACCTTCAATATATGTACAAACAGCCAGCAAAGTGAAAACTTCCTAGCATTCAAACTGTAGGATGAGTTATGTGGAACAACTATATACCCATAATGGACGGACGGACGGACAGATGGACGGAAGGACAGGTGGACAGAAGGACGGAAGGAAGGACAGAAGGATGGACAGGGGTAAAACAATATGCCCTCAAACTTTTAGTTGCGGGGGCATTAAAAACAACCTACAGAAAATTCTTTTGAAAATTTTCTTTGCATCAAAATAATAAAATTAATGTGTTACTATTATAAATCAGACTATTCAGAATAACTTGTTCAATCAATAGAGGTAAGTGTCAAAATTTTTCAATTCAAAATTTAATTATTTCTAGTTATCTCAAAACCACATTAAGCAATTTCAAACTTACCATTTTCAACCATTAAAGCTATAAAGAAGCTGGCTTGACAGTACTAATTTCTTTCAAAAGAATTGAAAAGTTGCTAATCTTAAATAGTGTTAGTTTGTTGATTTCAATTGATAAGTTCAGATTTAGAGAAGGAAGAAGAGTTTCTGAATTGATGGCCAGATGGACAATGTGTTTGGTTCATTTGACATATATAGCTTCTTCTGCGTAACAATAACAAAATGTGACATAAATTTTCAAATTAGATGCAAATTTCTATCATTTCAAGGCTAGATTCATAAGTGACAGTAATATAGGTAAACATCACACAAAAATTGCTCTAGTAAGTTGCTTTTTATTGCTAATTAAAGAACATTTGTGAGCAGGCTCACATACCCACCCCCAACATTGTCACTTGGCAAACATAATCTCACCAGATTCCTAAGTTAAAAGACTCATAACTCCTACAAAATTCAACTGATAAAAATTTCCTGTAGATATGCACATCTGCATATTTATATGTCCTTATTATCTACAAAGTTATATGAAATTCTGTTGCATGATTTCAGAGGAGTTGCGATGACAAACTGTTGCAGATATATTACGGCCAAATTTGTAAGTTAAAAGGTGCATAACTCCTAGAAAAAAAATTGAATCATAATTTCCTGTCAATATGTACATCTATCTAGTGTGTCCTTATTATTTACAAAGTTTCATGAAATTCTGTTCTGTAAATTCAGAGGAGTTACGATGACAAGCACAGGACTGACAGACAGACAGACAGACAGACAGACAGATGGGTCAAAACCATTATACCCAACAGAACAAAAGTGGGGTATAAGATGATATAAAGTAGAGTCCATGCAGTGTTTTCCCTACTTATTTCATTTACCATCCTGGTAAACAAAGATTATTTAAATACTATTTTGTTTCTAGAAATTATAGCATCACATTCATAACATAATCTATCAGAAAAATTGTTTCAGACAGCATTACATTCATGCAACAAAGCTTCACATTACCATGATGCTTTAAGGTCCCTGAGAGAACACTGGTCTATTGTGCCAAACTTAACTTTTAGTAACCTATTATATGTTACAACAATATTTCCAGACAGAGATTCAGGTTAAAAAATTCAAGAAAAATGATTTTAGAACAGTAACTGGTACTAAACCAAAAAAAGTCTTTTTTCTGACTTTTCTATTCTCACTAACAGTCATCTAAGACAGTAGAATTTTGAAAGTTTACAAATGGGACCATTGAAGCAACATCTCATTTAAATTTAAATCTCATGGAAAAGTTTCAAAGAAGCTTTTTAAAACACTTTTTGGGCAAAATTATGCCAAACTGGAAAAAACCATTGCAAAAACAATGAGTTAACAAGACCAATACTGGGTCTGGACCTGCATTGCAGCATGTAATTGATTGAGGTAAAATCTATACAGGAGCATAAATGATCATTCCCAGACCAAATATTAAAACAATTCACTTCAATTGAAGCCATGAAAAGTTTGACGGAAATTCTCCTAGAACTAGTGATGTTTCGATGATCAGAATAAGTTTGGAAATCAGTTGGTCGGGTTAAGTGTTGTTGATAATCTATTGGGATTTTGTTAAATCGATTACCGTTATTGATTCCAGAATTTTAGCATATCAACTTCTGGTCCGTTTCCGGTTAGCATTTCACATGCGCAGTCATACAAATTCTAAACAAGAATATCAGCAGATTGCAATAACAATGGCAAACATCCAATAATCAAAGACATAAACAATTTCTGTCTATAGAAACATGGCAAAAGCATTGACTTTACAGATTGGTTGTATTTTATCTAAAATAAAAGTGTTTTATGAAATATTTTCATTCACTTCCGTTACTTGTTATTTGAGAGCATATATCAAATGATTCTGATTTTTGGAAAGAAAAAAAATTTGTAACATTTGAACGTGATGAAAATTGCCTGTGCTTAATGTTTCATCCATTTATTGCATCAAAAACGTCATATTCATTTGCAAGTTGCTTGTCAGACATCGTTTATTTTTGTAAATTTTCCTTCGTCTCCCATTTGAAATATATACTAATCAAGGATCGGAAAAGGACCAACTATGAACGAAATCTATATACTTATGATAATAACTTGAACACCATATGGCACAGCTGACAAGAATAATGATCGAAAAAGTCAAAAAATCCGCATTCAAAAATATTTAAAAAAACATCATTCCTAGAACATATTCCAAATGATTTTTTTTCTTCTTCTTTTTTTAAATGATTGACAACATGCCTCCCCTCAAATCATCATAACAATTATCATATTTAGAAGAAATGCTGGTTACCTCAATTTATTCATTCATATATAAGGTCAAGTGAAAAATTTTAGAGTCATTGTTGTGAATAAATGTAATTATAAGACAAAATATGTTCAATCTGAATCTAGTTTCTGATTGATTAACTGTTTTAATTGCTAATTGAAATTTTAAAAGTAAACAGAATATCAAACAAGAACAAATAAAACTCTGTAATGGAATATATGCATAAGACATGTACAATGTGGCTGAATGCATGATTTTATATAAAAAATGTGCAAGCTTTAATGATGCAATTATAACTGATAGTCGGTTAGTTGCTGTCAACCCATAGTAATAGATAATCGGTTGGTAATTTCAACCAATTATCCAACACTACCTAGTACAATGAGTGTTGTAAAATTTCAAACAGATAGTGCTATAAGGCAGATGCAAAAATAGCTTACTCACTACATTTCAACATTATCAAGCTACAGACATCACTCCCTTTCATAGAAGCCAAGAAATGACGAAAGTTTCCTTTCGGATGGTGGACAGAAAGACGGTCAGACAAACAATGGAGTCGAGCGTTACTAGAACTGCTTCCGCCTTCAACAACGCAGTTAATAAAAACAACATTGAAGAACCCTGTATTTCTATTCTACATTGTAACTCTACATGAACATTTTTCATTTCACTCAACACAAATTCTCATTTCTTTGCCCATAGTTACTACAGAGGAAAACAAGTTTTTAATATCATTTATATGCAAAACATTTTACCTGATCTTGAAACATAACTCCTCCAAAAGCCCAAATACATGCAAATGCAAAATACAGCTCATACAGTTCCTTAGGACTATCTTGTGGAATGTTTTCCTCAGTGAGAAGACACTCCAATAAGTAGCACAACATCTGGACATGGCTGATATCAGCTACAGGTGTGATCTTCCTGAAGCGATGACGGAGTGTTTCCAGACAGGTAGGGACATATTTGTCAAACAGAATGCTTAGGTTGGCTTTCTCAGACTGTATCTTTCTGGTGTCTATCCAACTTTGAACATATCTATTGAACAGTAAAATTCATTATAGGAAAAACATAATAGAATAGAACATATATAAAATATTAAAAAGTTCATAAATTGAAGTTATGTAACAAATTTAAGATATATTTTTTATGCATATGTTGCATTCAAAGATTTATCATTTAAAAAATTTGGCAATATCTTGACATGCTTTCAGAATAAAATGATTTTTTTATTTTCAAGATAACTGAATTGAATAAAATGATCTGAACACTTTTTTCTCTAAGAGAAAGTAAGCCCTTTTTTATTTGTTAACTAACAAATATAGTTGGTTTACAGTTGTTATGTTTCACCCTTTCTACTGGGAGAAAGAAATTTTGTATTTGTCAAGTCTCATCTGTCTAGCTGGCAGCCTGTCAAAACAGTTAAATTTCAAACGTAAAAAACTTGACAGAATTACTTCCAACAGTACATATTTGTCATGTTTGTGTAAGACATACTGTAAATTCAGAAATTTGTGTGTGCATTTAATATTGAAGTTTTTGAACAATGAACAAAAATGTGAGATTAATTAGTGCAATTTCAAGAAATACTGCATACAAACAATGATATCAAAATATAGAATGCAAATTGTTTTTTTGCAAAACCCGGTTACAATTTCAGCAATAATAAAAACATTGCAAAGATTTGTGAATATACAGTATACAATTACTTACGGATTCCATCCAACGTCTGCGAAGTTAATAAATAGGACACCAGCTCTGGATACAGTTGATGGATTAGCAGTTTTCAAATGACTGACTTCAAACAACAATCTCATGCTATCTGTTAATGGAATTCTCTCATTACTGGCTAGTGTCAACACTTTGTTATCATCCATCACAGTATTCAAGGATTCAATCCACATAGGATCCACATCTCCATCCAGAACTATCCACTTAGGATTATCCGTTGTCATTTCAGCCTGATCCCTCATTATGACAGAAAACAAACCTAATAAAAAAAAAATATGAACTATTATATTTTTATCGAAACAAATAGTACCTATAGCTATCTAACAAAATATATACTGTTAATTCAGAAATTATTGCCTGCAATTTTTATTGCGATTTTTCTAAAAATTAACAAAAATGTGAGTTTAATTATTGCAATTTCAGAAAAAACTAAATACAGATATATGTACCAGATAACAGAATGCAACTTCTTATAATACTCAAGGAGTTGTATTATTCGCATCAATAAAAACTTCGCAATAATTTCTGAATTTACAGTATTCTAAAATAATTTTTGTTATTAAATTTGTTTAATCTGATAAGATTCTAAATCATCCAGAGTGGACTTAGAGAGATGTCATGCCTTTATATGTTTTAATAACTATATATTGATTGTGAACAGGATATGGTCAAGTAACACATAAATTAATGATGTACACCTTCATAACTTATCTAGACCTAGTTTAGAACTTGACATATACAGATAGTAAAGATACTTGTCTGTTGTTTAAGATCAAATGATGAGGTGTAAATGTCTTTTTGTGGAGTATTATTAATTTGATCGGGCAGTGTCTCGTTGTGGCATATCTAACATCATATCTAAAGAATATGCAACTTTGATATGAATAACTAGTCTCTGAAAAGAATTTCAGGATCATCAACTTGTAGAAAAGATAGAGGAAAACAGGAATATGTGTCCATAGGACACCACACCCCAATTGCACTATCATTATCCCTGTTCAGTGAACTGTGAAATAATGATCAAAACCTTAATTTTGCATTCGACTAAAAACTGCACATCATAATGAACATCTGCACTAAGTTTCAAGCTGATCTGACCACAACTTCAAGGTAAACTTCCTTAACAAATCAAAGTGCTTGTAAGCACTGAAGGATAAAGATTGCTTTAATTTATTAGTGGAAAGTATAAAAATTAAACATTGCATTGGTAGTTGATTCAACTACAAATATATATGGACAAAGGAAGATAACTCCAATTTTAAAGATTACTTGAACAATGACATCATTGATATTTTTAGAACAGATATTAGATTACTGCAACTTGCAGAAGTTATGTAATTTTCTTGAAAAGTATAACATTATTAAGAAACTTGAATATCTGAGCATATATTTCATTGATAAATTTCTGGAAATGTCCATGGATAGGATGTTTAGAATGTTATGATCAATGCACTATATTATGTGTACCTCAAAAGTAGTGATAAACCTTGGAAGATTTAGATATCAAGTCAGTACCATACGGTTTTGATTGTATTTCATGCAATCTTTACCCAAAAACTATAACCTGGGAATGTACTGGTTTCACACTATCACAATTACATGTTCAGCGAAATATATTGGGTTCAAAACAGTAATTTGGCTTTTTTTCAATTGGATAGCTCACCATCATCATTTTCTCATAAAAAAATCCTAGATTTTTACCCACCATCTTTCCATTCTCTGGTTGCCGAGTTGATAACACCAAACAATTCATCATTAGTGACAGCCTTAGGATCAAGGTCTATAGACACTGGTTTCTGTCCCCTATTCTTATAGGTCTTGTTGAGGGATTGCCATACCATACTTTTACCAACACCAGCTTGTCCAAGGATGAAAACTGAATGGCGTACATCTATCAGTTCTTGTAGCTGCACAATCTTTACAAATAAAAAGTAACCATAAGTAAACAAATTAACCAAAGAGGATGGATATAGGCACAAATTTTTAAATAATGATTGTTTATATACCCTTGTGCAAAATTATCAGTTTTCTCTATAGACAGTTTGGAGTCATCTTGTATAATACTGTAAATTCACTAATTTTTGCGAGGTTTTTATTAATGCCAATAATGCGACTGGATTTATAGGATCGCAATAATAAGAACTCGCATTCTGATATCTGATAAAATTGAGAATGGAAATGGGGAATGTGTCAAAGAGACAACAACCCGACCATAGAACTGACAACAGCAGAAGGTCACCAACAGGTCTTCAATGCAGCGAGAAATTCCCGCACCCGGAGGCGTCCTTCAGCTGGCCCCTAAACAAATATATATACAAGTTCAGTGATAATGAACGCCATACTAAACTCCAAATTGTACACAAGAAACTAAAATTAAAAATAATACAAGACTGACAAAGGCTAGAGGCTCCTGACTTGGGACAGGCGCAAAAATGCGGCGGGGTTAAACATGTTTATGAGATCTCAACCCTCCCCCTATAACTCTAGCCAATGTAGAAAAGTAAACGCATAACAATACGTAATTTAAAATTCAGTTCAAGAGACGTCCGAGTCTGATGTCAGAAGATGTAACCAAAGAAAATAAACAAAATGACAATAATACATAAATAACAAAAGAATACTAGCAGTTAACTGACATGCCAGCTCCAGACTTCAATTAAACTGATTGAAAGATTATGTCTTCATCATATGAATATCAGGCACAATCCTTCCCGTTAACATAACCCGTGTCATGCCAACAACTGGTTTTTAAATAAATGTGTTTAGTGCCGATGCAAAGACCCTATAAGTGAATCAATATTAACGCCAAAATATGCAATCTTTAATGACCTGACAACAGTATCGTAACTTTATCCCTTCTTAATAAGTCTATTTAAAGGTTTTGTTAGCTTCAGAGGTGAATACTGACATTTTTGTGCTTTATAAAGAATATTTCCATAAAAAATTGGATGTGAAATACCTGAACGTATAAGAAGTCTGCATGTTGAGCTATATTTACGAATGATGTCCTTATACCGATGATAAAATTTAGTAAATGTTTTGACTAGTTTGTGATATCGAAAACCCTGGTGTAATAATTTTTCAGTAATACATAGATTTCTCTCGTTAAAATCTGAAACATTGTTACATACACGAGCGAATCGTACAAGTTGAGATATATAAACACCGTAAGATGGTGACAAGGGAACGTCACCATCTAAAAATGGATAATTAACGATAGGAAATGAAAAATCATCTCTTTTATCATATATTTTAGTATTAAGCTTTCCGTTAATGATATAGATATCAAGATCGAGGAAAGGGCAGTGGTCATTGTTAGTATTAGCTTTATTTAAAGTAAGTTCAACAGGATAAATTTCTTTAGTATACATACTGAAGTCGTCATTATTGAGAGCCAAAATATCATCCAAATATCTAAAAGTATTATTAAATTTGTGTATCAGATGTTGTTTCGATGGGTCTTTGCTGATTTTTGTCATAAATTGTAACTCATAGCAATACAAAAAAAGGTCCGCAATAAGTGGTGCACAGTTAGTCCCCATTGGAATTCCGATAACCTGACGATATACGGAATCTCCAAAGCGAACAAAAATGTTATCTAGTAAAAATTCAAGGGCATATATAGTATCAAAGCATGTCCAATTGACATAGTTTTTTTGTTTATTGCTACTAAAAAATGACCTAAAAGAGTTTGAACATATATATTCACATTCTGAATTTTTAAATGCCCATTTAATTAGGTGTGTGAATTTTTTCTAAATGAGAATGTGAGGCAATGTGGTATATAGGGTAGAAAAATCAAAACTTTGAACAGATTCAAAATCACCAATATATGCATGCAATTTATCAAGTACTTCCAACGAGTTCTTGACACTCCAAAAGTAATTAATTCCACTATTTTCGAAGGCCTTATTTGAACAATTTATTATCAGGTTTTTGATTGTACCAAGTGTACTGGTAAGAAGAATAGACAATTTAGTAGTGGAACAATGGCTTGAAGACGAAATGAATCTATATTTGTAAGGTGTTTTGTGTAGCTTCGGAAGCCAATACATAGTTGGGACTTTCATTGTATTTGGTTCTGCTTGTAAAGCGGTAGCTAAAAGTTTATGTTTGTTACAGATGTCGTTTTCTGAAAATGGAGTCAGTTGGAATGTTGGTGAATTGGTGATTTCTTTTTTCAGAACCTCAATGTAAAATTTACGTCAAACAATAATAATATTATTAGCAGCTTTATCGGCCGGGACAAAAACAAATTCCTTGGCTAGTTCTTTTAGTTTATGTTTGATACAAGAAATAGGTTTATTGTGGTTATTGTTAAGAGTAAAATGTTTTTTAAAATGTTGAATATGTATATCAACTATGTTCATTACTGATTTAAAAAAAGAGTCCAAAGATTTTTTGTCAGCTTTTTCCCGTTTTATCCATTTCAAACAGTAAGTATGGAGTGAGTCGTGGATGATATTACGACACTCATTCCAATTAATAATTGACGGGGGACGATATTTAGGTCCTTTACTGAGGAATGATTTTAACTCTCGGTCTTGAACGATGTTAAGATCTCCTGTTATAACATGGGAAATGGGTCCATAAATGTATTCAGAATTACTGCAATTACATGAAGTAGGTGTATTTTCACTGATATTAACATCTTTACACAATTGGCTATAATTAAACACAAATTTCCCGGTAGATTTCTTGTAAATATAACAAATAAGAGGGAGCTCAGTATTATCAAAATATCCCGGAATTTGTTCTTTAACAGAATGGTTGTTAAAAATACCGGCAATATTTACAAAATCAAAACCTTTATTGACATACTTTATTTTAATAAACTGTTTTTTATGATCTTCAGGGCGATCAATTTTGGGAAACAGTTTAGAATAACAATATGCCATTATAATTTGAACGATTTCATACTTAGGACTGCTATATGAAATTGTGTTGCAATCCTCTAAAATTTTATTTAACTTATTAACCGGTAATGAACAGAGCTTTGTTAACAGATAATGTCTGCCGTTGTTTTTTGAAATAGAAATTAGGTCCGAAATATTGGTATGATTGGTCCGAAATTTTCTTTGATTGCGATTTTTTCTACGACCATGAGAACGGTTTTTACGAACAGTTTTAGAAACTATATCCAAAATGTTAACAGAATCGGTTCTTGATATATTACCAATTCCCATGATATTATCATTAAGACCGAGAGGGTAGATATCTTTAAGCAGGTTTTCCAGCAATCGCAATAATACATCTCACATTTTTGTCCATTCTCCAAAGTCGCAATAATTAATGCACGCATGCGCAATATTTTCTGAATTTACAGTAGATTTTTTCTACACAACTGAAAAAATGTCTCCATTTTTATCTAATTCTACAAGTAAATGTCATTATCTCTTGCTAAAGCCTATTTTCTTTTTTAAACTCTTTAATCGATATCTAAATTTTCATTCAATGCTTAGTTACAATTAATGCTCCAATTTACCCTTGATTTCTCATTTTTTGTACAATTTCCATTGGTCAACTTGGACTTCTAGACAGGCAGCTGAGATTAAAGGATATCAGCATAATCAATTTTAGCTCTCTAAATAGAACCATCAAGTTAACTTATTAACCTTTGTTTACTTGTTACTTTCTACAGTGACCTTATCATTCATTGTTCCAAATGCCTGTTGATATAAATCAATCTAAAATATAATTGAATTTTTACCTTCAAAATAAAATTTTCCTCTGGTTGTAATTTTAGATCAAGGACTGCTTGTCTAATGTCTTTTTCAAAGTCCATATTTCTCTTTCTGGGAACATTCAGTGCTGGAAACAAATCTCCAATCAAACCCATAAAGACAGGTATATCATCAGTTACTATCTTGGTAATGTTAAAGTCTCTCAGTGCTCTCATTAACACCTACAATCGTTTAGAAATAATTTTGAAAAAATTCTACAAAAACATTGTTTGTGAAGTTGCTTGTGACTGACAAGAAAATCATATAGATGGATGTAAACTAGTCTTCATGTTGGTAGCTGTACTATGGAGGTTTTTTACTATGTTTTTCAACTTTTACGTCATGGTCTAGATAGTCAATTCAGGGAGGTTTGGATGCATGTAAAACTGGTTTCACCCATTACATTTTGCGCATGTAATGACCATGTGTTGTTCTTTGATGTTTGTCATTCTATGTATGCTTTTTTCAGAGGACTGGGATGTTGATGGTTGGTGTGGTCTGTTGCACTGTGTGATATTTTTGGTGATTCCTGTTATCCTTTTTTATGTATTATTCTTGTTATTCTTTTTTATGTATTATTCATGTTATCCTTTTTTATGTATTATTCATGTTATTCTGTTTTATGTATTATTCATGTTATTCTTTTTTATGTATTATTCATGTTATTATTATTTTTATGTATTCTTTATGTTTTTCTTTTTTATGTATTATTCATGTTATTTTTTAAATGTATTATTCATGTTATTCGTTTTTATGTATTATTCATGTTTACAAAAATTATGTATTATTCACGTTAAAAAAATATATGTATTGTTCATGTTATTCTTTTTTATGTATTATTCATGTTATTCTTTTTTTTTATTTATTATTCATGTTATTCTTTTTTATGTATTATTCAATAGGCATGTTATTCTTTTTTTATGTATTATTCAATAGACATGTTATTCTTTTCTATGTATTATTCATTTTATTCTTTTTTATGTATTATTCATTTTATTCTTTTTTATGTAGTATTCATGTTATTTCAGATGAAAATAAAAACAAATAGTGAAATGGTATTTGAACATTTATAGCAGTGTTTTAAGTATAAATGTTATTTAAAATTAGCACATATACACAAGACAGGACAGCAACATGAAATTAACTTCTACAGAAAGAGAGTTGAATTTAAGTATCTCCTGACATCATACTTTTTACCATACATAAATTTACTGTCAATGACATGGGGGAACTAAGCTAAGTTTACATCAACATCAAGCAATGTGAAAAAAATTATCTCACACTTCTTCAGGGATTTATCAACTGCCAATAAAAAAATTTACTGGCCACAAAGTCCAGTTATAATGATCTTGCTTAGAGAAATAGAATTAACCAATTTATACGAACCTGTTCCTCTGGCCTGTCAGGATCACTCCTTTTTAGGGACCCAGCCACTACCAAAACAGATTTCACAGCCCTAAGACCCCAGTCATAATGGTCCTGTTTGGACAAAAGCTCTGCACATAGGTTGTACAATGTTATAAATTTCCTTGCCAGTAATTTTGCTTCAAGAAATCCTTCCGCTACCAACATAATTTCACAAATCTGTTCAATATCAGGTACCACCATGGCACATGGCCGAAACAGTGCCTTGAGATTTTCAGGCAATTCTGTTCTTCCAGCGTATCCTGGATTCATTGTAATAAATAGGCCAACATTCCAATTCAGACGGATTTCTTCACCCTGGAAGCTAAAGACTTTTTTCTTCTCTCTTATGGCATCCTGTATACATTTGACTTGAACTGCTACTACTGACAAAACTTCCACAGCAATGCGGTTAAACTCATCAAAACATCCCCATGCACCAGACTGGGCTAATCCTTTATAGATGTTTCCAATAGACTGTTAAAATTAATAGATTTGAATGATATTAGGTATTTATAAGAACTCGTCTATTAAAATGAATGGAGGGTCTTAGGGAGGGACTTCCAAAATCCCCCACAATCAACATACTTTCTTTTGAGTAATTTGCATACATCAACTGGACATACAACAATAAATGACCCACAACCACAGTCGAAAATAAAACGTCCCTTCCTACCCTCCCACATCCATTATAAAGGAATAGCCCTAACATAATTTAAATTATCCATTACATGATACATCTTATCAACTTTAATAAGGTGCACATGTTTACACAAATTGTCGATACCGCTGTTGATGAACTGCTAATATCATCCATCTAGTACTTATTGCTTCAACACTAGCATATTCAATTAAATATTTTCTAAGGAACTGAAATTCATAACTTAACCGGTATATCAAAATTAAGTTTTGAACCCCCTTATAAGGGAAAGTAGATCTTTAAACTGTTTGACTGTTCATTTTTTATCCCATCTTGGTTATATAACTCCATTGTATTTATATTTTTAGCTACCAAGTCTTTTGAGCATTTCCGATGACTTTTTTAAAAATTCAGGAAGTCCTTATAACATAGCAAAATAGGTATTTTTTACTATTTGTAAACCTCAGTTAGTAATATGCATGTTTTCTGGGGTATATAATTTTTTTACATTTAAGCTTGTGCTACAAAATTTGTTTCTATCATTTTGATACTAGTAGAACAACCTTTATGTTAATTTTGAATGACTTTCCAGTGTTACATTTAAAAAACATAGTACATATTACTACTATAAAGAAGCAATCTGTTGCCCTAAATTTTTACTGAGCTATAAAATGGTAAGTTTTTTCTTTCTAATTATTGATATATTGAAATGTGTTTACCTTGTAGTCCATCTGCTCTGAACAGTTAAAGACATATACCATAATACCAAGAGCTCTGCCAAGGTCCTTTGTGGTCTCTGTTTTCCCAGTTCCTGCAGGACCAGCTGGGGCACCACTCATAATCAAATGTAGGGACTGTGTCAAAGTGATATAACATCTGTAGCAAACAGAGACATCAAAGTACATGTAATAGTTTTAATACAAACAACTACAAGTATCAGCAAAAATCAGTAACTTTTTCTGAACTGTTAGTTCATCTTTACAAAAACAAGCTGGTCCTTTGAACCGAGATAAAAAAAAAATTCTAGAATGTAAATTTTTCAATTCACAAAAAAATACTTGATACTAGTAAGAGAGCTATTCTATGATGTCCAGTAACCTTTATCTGGTGAAATGACATGGCAACTTGTGTTGCATTTCTTTTTTCGGCTAGTAGTTTAATGACTACTTCATTTGTTTTCATCTGTATCAATTTTTATAGGTTCAGAAAAATTTGCTATTGTGTATACTTAATTTTGTGGTTCCATCATTTGCTACTATTTTTAAGTAATAACAAAATTTTATTTTATCAAGGATGAAAATTTATCAATTCCTAATACCAATGAAATCCACAAAAAATTTGTATTTTCAATTATTAATGAATCCACAGTTACTTGAACTGCTTGTTACTTACAGTTTGACTTTAATATATCTGTTGATATTACCTATCACTGACATGTGTAATGACAGGGCCACTTGTATAAAAAATTAGTCTAGTTAATGCAAGAAGGAATTTAAATACGTTGAATGTGGACAGTAAAGGGAAGAAAGCTTCTTAAGTTGCATGTAACTAGATTATTCAACTAAAATACCTCTTTTTTAATAAGAACAGTTCCATAAAAACATACATGAAAATCTGAACGATGTGTAGGGGTCAACACTGTTTTGTAAATTGAAATTCTAAAATTGACAGGTTGTTACCGATTTTGAAAGTGCCTTCCCTATGTACCCTATATGCTTTAATGGAAAAGTCCTTACCTGTCAGTGAGAGGTGTAATGACAAGGCGACTTGTGTTGCCTAGATATTCATGAGAATATCTAAATTGTGCATCACAAATATTGGCAAAGCAGTCTCTTTCATTATCATCCCATCTGTGACGGAGCTGACACAGCCAGGCAAAAGCTAGGGAGCTGTATACCCTGTTGTGGATGAGTTTATACACTACATCACGAGCATGGACATCGATGGTACAAATTGTCATGATCTTTTGTCTGTCTCCTTTACTCAGCTGACCAATTAACATGTTGATCAGACTATTCAGCTGTGTAATCTGAATTGAATAAATTGAAGAATTTTTAAAACTTATAATCGGCCTGGTCATACTGTGGATTCATATTATTTGTGGGATATCAATTTTCTTGAATTTCCTGGGTATAGGTTTTTAAAACCACAAATTTAAATTTTAACGAAGTACAAATTTTCTAAATGCTTGTATACAGACATTGGTAAATCCAGGAAAACAAATATCCACAAAAATACAAGTTTTTCTCAATCCTAGAGAATTCATATCCACGAAAATAAATAGATTCACAGTAATTCATTTATGATTTCAATACATAATTTTGTTTCCTTTTTCTGAACCAAAACATTTGTGATTTTCTTTTCTTTTAATTCAAACTTTTATGAAACAACAAGCATTCGAAACACTAATCGCATATGAATATACCATAGCGAAATTGACACAGTGTTTACATAGGTTAATTATAAAAGTATTTCCGGTAACATGGTCTATAAAAGATAAAACCCAAGAAATAATTTTTAACAGACCAATCACATTTAAGTACTTGTAGATCATGTAGGCATGATTAATGTGAATTGTACAAATATCAATCAAAATGCCCAACAACTAAATATGAATGAAAGTATTGAAAGTGATTTAATCAAGTTTTTCTGAAGTTCATTACAATTCTAATTAATATCTTTCATTTTGGAATATCGTCCTGAATATGCATGAAATATTTGCCACTGGACGTTAAGCAACCAACAATCAATCAATCATTTTGGAATAACTTTCACTCCTGTCAATATTATTTTTATCATCACTGTTTTCATAAGAAAATATATTGGTAATTGTCACCTGTTTTTTATTGTAATCTTTTAGTCCATTTTCATAGCCTTCCTCTAGTCTGCCAAAGGCAATATTAACCTCTGTAGTCCACCAAATCTGTGTGCCACATAATGCCATCTGTGCAGGGAAGTCAAACAGCCAAACATCTCTTGGCTTTTCTTCATACGTAGTGACAGCTTCAATTAACTGATGTCTTATGGTGTTTTGCATAGCTATTAGTAGCCTATTTAACCAAATTTCAACCTATCAGAGAAATTTGGAAGAAATTAAACTATTAAAACATTTCTGTTTTCTACATATTTAACTGTTAATATAACAGGAAGATGTGGTATGATTGCCAATGGGACCACTTTTCACCAGAGACAAAATGATGCAGATGTAAGCAACTACAGGGCACTATATAGCCTTCAACAATGAGCAACACCCACACTGAATAGTTAGCTAGTAATAAAAAGCCCTACATGACAAAATTGAAAACAATTAAAAAAAAAAAATGACAGCCTGAAATCTGTTTTGCCAAGCCAATTTCAATTGATGAAAAAGAAAATTAAAATTCATTGAAACTGGTTCTATTTTTATGATAAGATGTGATAATTGCTTATTTATTCATGTGCCAACCCAAATTCTCCATTCCAGAATAAAAAGGACTATGAGTTATTTCAGTGTATGTAACCAAATATAGATATAACCTTACATTATTGAACTTTCCCTGTTTAAGACACATTGTTAACTAAACATAACATTTTGGTGTATGCTGTTAGAAATATTTCCCAGAATGCCTCAGATTCTGAAATGGTAAATTCTTCCAATGACTTTTTACAATTATATGAAAGATTTGACATTTAGTTTTTGCATGGTTGAGCTTAACACAGATTATTGTATCTAATAGAGGAGAACTGCTCCCATTAACATTGAAAACCCTATAAACAAAACATTTTGATTTCCCTGAAAGACAACAATCAACAAGCTTAAGTTATTTGAAATAGTTACAGATATATTCAGAAATTTGTACATAAAGTTAAAGTTATGACTTCACATTTTAAAACTCTTCTGTTTTTCAAGGGCTTTGACAAAAAAATTAACAATTAACTTCAAGATGAAAATAAAAAATTCAAAATTTGGTCCATCCTGAAATTTTTGGGACTACAACTTTTAAATGTTCAATATCTTTTTTGTTAAAAAAAAAATAGTTTTCGGTGTGGATATAATCTAAATAACTTATTTTAATGCTGCTAATGAACTCCCAGTCCTGTCATTCTTCTGTAAAAATATTTTCATTTACAATCTTTATAGTAATAATTTTTAAAAGAAGCCATAAAAGACAAAAATAGACTTAATTCTGATGCAAGCAAAACTAATTCTTTTGACCATAAAATTATTTAGAAAATACATAAAATTTTACCTGTCCATTCAGATCACATGGTTCTTTTAAGTCTACATATTCTCCATCTTTGCTCCACATGGCCAACCCAGATTTAAGTGGATTGTCTTTGGAGTCTGTAGCAAACTTGAGCTTAGCCATACTGTCAAAAAACTTAGTTAAATGTCGACACACCTACAAGAAGTATGATACTATGTGTATAATAATTTCAACTAAAGTTTTCCAATAATATATACTTCAATCTAAACTATCTGCATGTTAAAACTTATTTACAACAAAACAGAACTCTTATGACAGATGAAAATATTGTAAGGAAACTGCAATAAATTATCAATAAAAATCTGTTGAAATGAGATTTACAATTATTAACCTCACCAATTTTAGACTAGTATAGACTGCATATTTAAGGCAAATTCAAATAGATTTCAAATACATATTCTATGTATATAGGTATAAAAGGGGCATAACTCTTTTTAAAATCATTGATCGGCACTGATTTTTGAATTTGTCCGAAACATTGCTGTTATAAAAGTATGATATAAGTTTCATAAAAATGTGGCAAGAATTGTACAAGTAAGAGAGCTAACAAGACCGACAGACAGATGCACGGATGGACGAACGGTATTTCTACGTCCCCCGCAACGCGTCGCGCGTGGGACAATAAAGGAAATTTAACACATTATTTTATTTGTTTGCCACCAAAAGATTCAAAGCAGTACAAAACTTACCAGGGGAGGATTATTTCCATTGGATAAAATATCCAACAAATCGGCAGATGATACAAAATAAAAGCGAGGGAATGCTAATCTCTTGGTCTCTAAATACTCTGCCAAAGCCTTCTCACACAGAGTTAACTGCCCTTGGATAGCTTCCAATCTTTCATATAAATTCTGCTGATTAGTAGCAGCAACCACATTCTTTGTTTTCTCAATTTCTGATACAAGTTCCTGAAAAATTTAAGAATGTTTGATGTTAATTTGTATTGAGGATATATAATGTGTCAAAAAGTTGAATAGGCAGTGGCATATGACTACAAATGAGGAATTTATATGTTAAGACATTTATAAGTATTAGGAAATATCTATAAACCTGATGAGATGGGATCTAGTCTCAGTTTGTCAAAAAAAAAAGTCTTCAAAATTATGAAATCAGGAAAGGTTTCTGGTATAAAAAGTGATACTTATGCACATAATAAAACAAAAGTGGCTATTATTCTTCCTACTATATATAGAACAATATAAATATAAATTCAAGAATTGAACTGAGTGTTGATTTATAATTTGGATACAAAAAGAAGTTAACAACTTAAAACAAAGTTTTTGTGTATGGAAATTTTGCCCAGTCAAGTTGTACTGATTATTTTGTAAGGAAATTAAAATAGTTTGGCCTTAGCCTCTTTGTATATTTGCATTAAAAGTGTCTTGTCTGGTAGATGAAAGTATGTAAATAAAAGGCACCTCAATGCAAAGAGGCCCCTAGGAATTGATCATATTGTCTTTAACAATTTAAAGTCTATATCATTTGTCAATGTTTTTGCAAGTTATAAATAGCTTTGAGTCTTGAAAAGCTGTAATTAAATTTTACAGAGACGTACACAACAAAAACAGAAGGATTAAACTAAAATAATGAGTGACATGGGTCTTGGGGTTGATTTAGGTTTTTTTTTGCAATTAACCCTCCCACTTTTTATTTCAAAAGGTTGGATGACAAAAGATTGATTGATTGTTGGTTGCTTAACGTCCTGGATGACAAAAGAAATATAGAATAACAAACATGTGACTTTGAGATGAAGAACAGCAATAAAAGCGCTGTGTTCCTTGGCTTTTTGTGTGTTTATTGCTGTGCATGTACTGATTTTATGTCATGGATGGATACCCCATATCCTTTGTTTTTCTATCATGTATCACATTTTAGACACTCACATAGATTATTAAACTAAATTCATGACAAAAACTTTTTCAGTTGTAAAACATCAACTAGTTTAACATATAAATATGACCAGTAATCAGATTGATATCGATAACTATTGGTTTCAGTTTTTATATGAAATTTAAACATTTTTTCATAATATTTCATTGAATTCTTCACTTAAAAAATGTTCCCAACTCTTAATACCTTGAAATCATTATCAATTCCATCAAATCTTTTGCTGTCTTCAGGAAGCTGGTTTCTAATATCCTCTGAACCAATGAAAATACTCTCTAAATGTGACCAGGTTCTTTGAACCTCCATCCAGATAGTTATAACCTGGTCTGCTGTTGATAGTTTCCTCTGCCAGGTTGACACCTCGTGCAAGAAATGTGCTATGTACTTAGATGACAGCATATTTTGCAGTTGCACCTGGAATTTTTAATCAGTGTTTATCAGATATTTAACAATATATTCCTATGAGGACATGCTTTAAAATAGTCCTACTATAATTATTTTTAAATATATATAGCAGGATAATATGTTTATGTTTAATCTAATTATTCATAATTTGATCTGTATAATATCAAAAGGTCCATAGAAGAAAGTTCATTCATGTATATAGAACTTTCAATTCATCATTTCGTTTTGGAATCTGAGGCATTCTCAAGTAATATTTCCAAAAGCATATACAGAAACTCTGTGATTATTTAACAACACTTTCAACAATGGGAGTTCAACAAATGATGAAAATTTAATTTCATTCTAAGGATAAGAACAATAAAGTTTGTCAAAATCATAGTCTTCTAATACTATATATAACATCTTTAAAAGAAATACTGTAATTTCAGAAATTATTGCGTGCATTTATTATCGCGATTTCCACATGACAGACCAAAAAATGAGAATTATTTTTGGGATTACAGGAAAAGCTGCATACAAATATATGTGTCAGATTTCAGAATGTGATTTCTTATTATTGCGATACTCACCAAGTTGCATTATTCGTAATAATAAAAACCTCGCAATAATTTCTGAATTTACAATATCATGATATTGTTGCACCACTACAACATTTGAAACAATCTATATCACTTAAAAACTGTATCTATATACAAAATGGACCAATATAATGGTTTATCATGTTAATTAAGTCTCTGAAATCAGATACGTTTCACATTAATCATGACAAGTTGTAACTGTGTACACTTCCAAAAGACAGTGATATCTAACTAGAGAAGACTCTACTGACAGGTTCCACTGTACAGAATCTTACCTGATTATCTTCCAAAGTCTCTATCAATTCTTCACTTGTCTTCAGAGTAGTGATCTTTGTTCTTGGATGTGGTTCATGCTGAAACTCCATTGCAGCCCATGTGACATCTAGTTCATTCAGAACTTTCTCCATGCTCATTTCTTTGGAAGCCTTATCTACAATACCGTGAACAGCTTCTTCATACTTGTGAAGGTTGAGAGAGAGAAGATCTGCGAGAGTTGTGTTCTCATCCATAACAAATCTCACCTACAAAACAACATATTATAGGCAATTAGAATTTCTTTCACTTCTGTGACATTTTGATTTCTTAGAATGTTTAAATGCTTGTCATATATATTTAAGCAGCAGGTAAAATTTTCATCACAAACTTGAAATGTTTATTATGCTTTTCTATTATATTAAATAAACAACAGTTTAAATCCTTAAACTTTTTCTACATGAATGAACTGTATCCAGGTTTACTTCATACCTTTGTTTCATTCATCAATTCCATCCAGTGACGTTCCCTGATAGATGGGTTCTGCAATTCACTCACAGCCTTGAGTGACGTTAACATATTTTTAAGACTATCCTCCAGTCCAACATAAGCATTCCAAGCTCTCATCTCCTTATCCAAAGCTCGGATATCCTTTGCAAGTTTCTTAGTATCAATTTCCATTTGCTCTACATTGATTTCTTTCCAAGGAGTTGTTTTCCAATCATCAAAGCTGCAGCGTACAATGACAATATAATCCCAGAGTTGTTTAAGCAGTTTTATTTCCTTCCTACACTGTTTCAACTGTTTGAAATCTGGTGCATTCACTTCAAACAAGCTAGACGCTTCTAACAAGGCCCTCATCTCAGTCTCCATTACAGAAATATCTTCATGGTACTGTAGGGGAAAAAGGAATTTCTTTTATGAAACATGAAAGAAATGTAAGAATAATCTAATTTGGAAATCGTGAAATCCTATTAAAAGAGTCAAGCATTTTGATATCTGGAAAACTTATTTATCTTTTCTTCTACTTTTGCTAGCAATTATATGGTCATTATAGGCCTGGAAAATATTTGAACCCCTTTCTACATGATTTTTAGACATTTTTTTAATACTGACATATGGCAAAAAATTTAGGACCATATTTTCCCTTTCTTTAGGTTATTCAAATTATACATTCATTTTGTTTTAAGCAATGGAATTTTATTTATCAATAAATCTGACACATTTTTAGATACACATGTAAACAGGCAGACTTTCTCAAGCTTTCACTTTAATCTCATTGATAAAGACTACCATATCTGTTTGAAATTTACTTTTCATATGGTTCAATCTACCTACCTACCAACAAATCCACTCAAATCCTTTAATAGAAAAAAAGTAAACATGCTTTTTTTAAAATTCTGTACTGAAAACAAAATAAGAAATAAAGACAAATTTGTCTTAATATGTAAATTTACCCTAGCAATCATCTCATAGGGTGTAGCACAGTCATATCTAAATGGTTTAATGGTACGAAATTGTTCCCTGAATTTATGTTGTTTTACATCAAATGTAGCTGATTTCTGTCTGATGTTGGTTACTTCTGTCGTCTGCAATGGTGCCACTTCCTGTTTCACTGTTATGGAGATCTTCTTTGTGTTGTTCCATTTCTCTGGCAGTTCCTGTAAAGAGCAAGAAATACTTTTATTGCTTTCTCATAAATCAGGCCATTGGTTTTCCATTTGAATTGTTTCACATTTGTAATGTTGGGGCCTTTTATGGCTGACTATATGTTGGATAGATTTTGCTTATCGTTGGAAGGCTGTACAGTGACCTATTTGCCTAAATCCACATCATTTTGGACTTGTTGGATAGTTGTTTCATTGGCAATGATACCAAATCTCATTATTTCATATTATTATTAAGCTATTTTCCTTAAAAAACTTCTCAAGATCTGTCTGTCGAAAGGGCTAGTCTGTTAACCAAGCTTTATGAAGTGTCTCACCAAATAAAGGGGACAAATTCTAACAACTTTTTTTACTATACTGTGGATTCATTTATTTTCGTGTGTACCAATTTTCGTGGATTAAAGAAAACTTATATGTTCGTGGATATTTAATTTCGTGGTTTTCCTGAAGCCTGCATACAAGCCTATGGGAAATTTGTCATTCGTTGAACATTTAATTTCGTGGTTTACCTGTACCCACGAAATCCACGAAAATTGGTATTCAACGAATAATAATGAATCCACAGTACAATATATTTTTAGCTCAATGTTGAAGGCCATACACAACCTGTAGTTGTTTACAAACTAAAACAATCTAAAGAAACCACTATAATGTTTGCCAATTTAACACAAAAGTATTATACAGTTGATTTTTGATGCTACTTTCATAACCAATCATGATAGTTGTAAGTAAAAAGGATTTAGTACATTACAGTTTTGCTATTTATGAGCAATGACAGACAGCAAATATATAAAATTTTGCCTGTATAATTGTAGACTGAACTCTCCCTACAGCAATCTATCCACCTTGTAAGATGATTTTTTACCCATATCCGAGGAAATGATATACTGTATATCAAGTTATTTTATAGTCAGATTTTGTTCAAAGTTTGGGCCTTAAATTGAGCAGTTAAGTCTTTTCTGTGCTTATTATTATTTGCATCCAATGGTCTGGTATATTGCATTTGTATGATATTCAAAATGTTCTTTTAATTTATGGACACCTGATATCCTTTCTTTTCTATTGTATGATATAAATTTTGCAGAAAAAATGTCCACAGTGAAAAAAAGCAAAATTTTAGACATAACAAAAAATTTCCTGATAAAACATTTAGGGTTCTTGTAACATTAATAATGCCCATACCATGATGAAACAGAGTTCCAATGTCCCCACCATTGCACGTATTTGATCTATCCAAAGGCAAAAACTAAAAAAACTTTTCACAAATATCTTAGAGAAATGAAGGCTTGAGAGCAAATACAATACAATTTCCAGTACGAACAATATTTCCAAGGGGCATAACTCTTTCAAAAATATTTGATTGGCACTGATTTTCAAACTTGTCCGAAACATTGCTGATATAAACCTAGGATATAATTTCTAAAAAAATCTGGCAAGAATTGAATACTTGAGAGCACTAACAATGAAATTTTCCAAATAATTAATATTTGTAAGGGACATAACTCTTAAAAATAGTTTATCTGCATTGATTTAAAAACTTGTATGAGATATAAACCTATGATATAAGTTTTATTATAAAAGTCAGGCAAGAATTGTACATGTGAGAGAGCTAACAAGGCAGGTCAGACAGACGGACGGACGGACGGATGACCAGTATTTTTATGTCCCCTGCAACGAATCTTGCTGGGACAAAAATAAGGAGATATGGTATGATTGCCAATGAGACAACTATCAACTAAAGTTCATATGAAATGGAAGCAAGCAATTATAGGCAATTGTACAGCCTTCAACAATGAGAAAAATCCATACCGTATGGTAGAGCCCAGACACGAAAAATATGAAACAATTCAGTTTAGAAAACAAATGTCCTACTTCACAACAAAACAATTTACGAAAAACAAATATGGCAGACATTAAAAAATAACAACCACTGAACTGCAGGCTCCTGACTTTTGACAGGCACATAAAGAATGTGGTGGGGTTAAACATGTTTGTGAGCACTCAACCCTCCCTAACCTGGTACATTGATGTTACAGCACAACATAAGAACAAACTATAAAAATCAGTTGAAAAGGGCTTAACTCATTAGATCTATACAAAGCAGAAAAAACATCTAACAAAACCACAGACTCAAATATGGCAGGGTAGGTATACATCCCCTAACAACAAAAAAGACAAAAAGTACAGATCTGAGATCTAGAGTACCGTTACTCGCAGTCACTGACAGCTAGTTCAAAGTCATGTATCTAAGACTAAAAGTCCTCCTTGTAATGTTCAAAGACTACAAATATGGTATCAGTTGAAAATATTAACCTAATTCCTACAAGCACCAGCTGCTATACACACCTGTAGCTGTAAATGGACTTCCTCGGGCATTTCCTGATTGTAAGTTTTAAGCAGTTCTATGGTTTGTTTTAGAGGTTCAAACATTTCATCTGTGCTTGACTGTCTTTCCTTCACAGCCAACAAGTATCCCATACAATCTACTAGCCCATCGTAATTCTTCACTGGCTTCAATAACCCTGCATCAGTTTTGATAATGAAGTCTGATAACTCCTTCAAACTTAAAAAAAAAAACCAATTAAATGGATCAATTCAAAAAGGGTATTGCATTGTGGAAACATCAATGCTTATGATGTTTTGATTGGTTGAGACATCATTTACAAGGTGATAAGACAGTGCAACGTAATTTATGATATTATTGTTTTGGGTCCGCAGGAATTCTCAAAATATACAAAATTCAAATGTAAATTTCTATTGACTTCTATTGTGTTAAGTTTGAAGCAATGAATTCAATATTCCACTAATTTTGTAAGGACTAAAATAAATCTGCAAGAACCAATAGTGCTCATAATTAATGCAAATTCAATAATTATTGTGCGCATTTATTATTGCGACTTGTTATGAACAAAAATGTGAGTTTAAGAAAATCTACATAAAGATATATGACGAAGAATTAGATAAAGGTCATGCGTTCCTAGTAATGCCAAAACTATGTTCATTTGAAAAAATATGTGAAAATTACGATACGTTTGTGTTTGTACGAGGTTATTACTGTTAAAAAAGTGTTACTTTTCATTAATTATTTTGCTGATGACTAAGGACTATCATGAAGAAGTGTTGTTTAATTCATGGATTTTTTTAAATTCTTAGTTATTGATTCTGTTAATTTCTAAGTCAACCAAATTTGGTATCTTATGGTATCTTGTCATAGATTTTTTTTTCTTTTTTAATCAATCTTAATTTAAAAACCTTACAATAATTATTGCATTTACAGTTTAAAAACAAAGTGCTTGTGAGCACTGAAGGGTAAAGATTGCTTTCATTTTGCAATTTTGTGGATTTTGAAATAAAACATTGAATTGTATTTTGCTAGAATTAAAAATTTGAATTGGAGTTATCTTCCTTTGTTCATGATTGTACATGTGTAGTTGAACCTAGTTTTATAACAGATTCATACACCATGCATTACTTATGTAATTTTTAATAAAAAAATGTTTTTTTGACAAGTATGGTAATTCAAATACACATCATATTCATATTGTAACTCAAATATCAAAGTATAACATATCATCAATAAATTGTATGACATTGACTTGATAGGATCTAAATAATGATCACTTCACTGTACTATTTTGTTTGAACTATCAAAGGAAGTGATAAACCTTGAAAGATATAGATATCATAGGGTTTTGATTGTATTTCATGCAATCTTTACCCCGAAACCAGCTAACAAACCTGTTATTGACATGATCAATGAGATGTTGTTTGAACATGTAGCTCCATCTCTTGATGGTGTTCAGTAATGCCTGCTTAAATGGCTTAGAATTTACCCTGAACCATTTCTCAAAGATCTGTGTATGATGTATCTGTTCAGCTGCATCATATATCTTTTCGTATGCATCGATCTAAAATTGTAACAGCATGGTATGTTAAACCTGTCTTTAACTAACCATGTTAAGTGGAATTAAAAAAAAGTAATCAATTTGCTCCTCTCTGAAGGTAAATTGATTGTATAAAATCTAATTATTAATTGTAATGATAATATTAAAATCAACCATCTGTATGTTTTTTTCTTTATCTTAAAAGACTTATAACTGTTATAAAAATTTACTTAGAATTTTTATGTCGATTTTCAATTAATCTGAATTACTATCTTTTATTCTTTTATATGTTTCTCTGATATCTGATAACATTACACTAAAATGAGGTTTGAAAAGAAAAGAAAAACAAATTCCAAACACATACTGTCAAGAACATATGGTAAGAATTAAATAAAGTTGTATTAAACTCTAACCTGCTCTTTGAATTGCATCAATTTTGGTGGTTTTTGTGGCACATCATCACCTGATTCAATCTCCTCTGGTGTAAGAACATGGCCATAGAGCAAGAACTGTCTCATGAACTCGTTCCTGTCATCTACCCAAAGATAGGCATAATTATCAAATGAGTTCCTATATTCCATGCCCTTGTTCATAATGATGTTGACCCGATCCATCATTTCACTTTTCATGTCTGCTAGTTCTTCCATTTCTTCCATATCCTGTTGGTAATGTTCCTGTCCAGAGTGGGTGGCTAGACGAGGGATCAAGGCAGACTGCTTAAAAATATCCCCAAGGATACTATCCACCAAATCATAATAGCCATCTGTAGTTCCAAAGTCAAGGGACGGAACGTAGATTATTTCTGGTTGTAGAAGTTCTAACTGTGACTCAAACAATGGCCCAATGTCATTTTTAGGATCAGTATTGTCTAGGAGAAATTTGACACTGCAGTGAATTGTGTTGAATAGTCCATCTACAACCATTTCATCCAGGTAGTCAACATAGGCCTTCCACATATCTGAGTTAGGGTCAGCTTTAAAATGGTCTAGATTTTCCTAAAACATAAAATTGAGAATGAAAACAGGGAATGTGTCAAAGAGACAACAACCCAACCTAAGTGCAGAAAACAGCCCAAGGCCACCAATGGGTCTTCCAACACAACAAGAAATTCCTGCACCCAGAGGCGGGGTTCAGCTGGCCCCTAAACAATAATGTTTACTAGTTCAGCTAAAATGGATGTCACACTAAACTCCAAACATAGTCAAGTTACATATCATATCTGAAGTATAAAAATTTCAGAAAAGAATTACCTATAATATTTGACAGCAGATTTAAATGTAGAAATACTTAGATCAAACCTTTTGAAATTTTATAGTAACAAGTGTGTGTGCTGATATGTCTCTCCTGCTTTACTGATTTTGACAGAATTTTATGTTGAAAGTCTTTAAGATCAAGGTCTTACTACAAGTATCAGCAAACTCAATGTTAACTAGTGAACCATGAAATTGAGGTCAATATCAGATGAGCCCTCTCAGAGAGACATGTAACTGTAAATTCGGCAAAAAAACAAGAGCGGAACGGGAAAAAAAGTAAAAGTGTCCATACAACTGTTGTTTTGTTGAAGTTTTTAAAGTCCAAAAGCCTGTAATTTTTGCAAAAATCAGTGAAGCATAACCAAACATTAACCCCATCTAAAACTCATTGTAGTCGACTCAAATACTAAAAATCAGCTCAATGTGTGAAGGCATTTAGAAAAAAGTCTGTATAATTGTTCATTGTGAAATGACGGAATGATGGACAAGGGTAAAACTACAATCTGATAATGGTTGTATAAAGTACCTTCAACAAAGCATGAAGTTTAGCCCCAACATCTTTAATCTGTTTGTATCTTTTCTCCAATCTTTCTTTCCTGTCTTCTAAATAAAGAAGGGTTTCATTCTTCTCTGGACTTCTCTCAAATAATGGAAGTTTACTCCAAGTTGACATTATCTTCTCTATCTCTTCTACGTTGTCTTTAGACTTCTGAACTCTGGATTCTAAGTCGATTACCTGGTCCCTGGTCTTCTGAATATATTCCCAGACTCCTTCAATAAATCATAAGTAGTTTTTTGAATATATACTAATCATTTTGAAAAAATTGAAGTTAGATAAAGACCAAGTCTGAAATATCTTATTATTTGCTTTTTTTAAGGTAAACAAAACTGTCAAAAAAAAGTGTACTGCAAAACACTGAAACACATATATATATTATTTTAGATACATGCATATCAAACTCTTATCCGTTTTATTCATGTATTAAATCATAGCCAATAACATTACCAACATATATACATGTGTAATATACAAGTACAGTGAAGTACTAATAAATAGATATTTTGGGAAATTTCAATTTCATATGTATAATGAGGCCTATCAGTGTAAATGGCATCTTTGAACTCTTACTGAAAAGTAATAACTTAAATATTTGTGACATTAGAAATGGACAGTACAATGTAGTCTATACATGCATAACAACTTTGATTCAAAACACATTGAATATTGTAAACCAACTAATTTTTGCGAGCGATTTATTTTCGCGTCTTTCTCGAGTAGAAAAATAATGCGAATCTAAATTGTCACGATTATCTAAAACTTGGATCTTTTCTCATTTAACTACATCAAGCAAATTTGAAAATCGCGAAATTAAATCGCCGCGAAATGGGCAAGTAAGGGCTAAACGCGAAATAAAGAATCCGTGAAAATAATTTGGTTTACAGTACATATTTGTGTTTATAATGCAAGGTTTTATCCAGTAATAAACAAATAACATACTGGTTATGAAACAAAATTGTTTTTTTTTATTTACTCATTTATTATAGTTGCCCTAAATTTCATAAATCAATACTAAGACTACCTTCATTTTCCCAGTTAAGAGTTTTCTCAGCTTCCTGCAGTTGTTGATCAATATCCTCTAACTGTTTAGCTATGAGTGGGTACTCTACTTCCAATACACTTGTCCGTACTTTATTGTAGAGCCTCACTGTCAGATCCAGATTTGTGGAGAACTTCCACAAGGTGTCGTTATGTTGGTACACATTTTTGGCTGCTTTTGGAATCTCCTTGGATTCATCATCTTCTAGATATTTGACCTCTCTGAGAACTGCAGTAAGCTTGGGATCAAAGTTCACCTTGACAAGGTTTGTCTCACTGTCTCTCGTGATCAATGGTTGTTTTAGGTTGAAGGCACAGATCTCATCTACTCCACCAATCCATTCATTGTATGTTTCATTGTTCAACCTATTTAATGTAAAATAAACTGTTGACACAGAGACATGTCTCACCTTTGTGTAATTTTTATAGTATAATGCAAATATTGGAATTAAAATGGCAATACTTTAAAGGCATACCATTCAGTTTTGATCCCGAGGTAAATTTTTGTTGAAAATTTGCATACAAGCCATTTTTCACCTAGTCAATTTAAATATGTAATAAAAAATATACCTTAATGTGTTACTTTTAGAGATAAATGGGGTTGAAATTTTAGACATTTACTTAAAAATGTGATTTCTTGGAAATTTCTATCCTTTGGACAAACATACCTAACTTTTTATTTCAAAAGATAAACACAAGCAGATTTTGTAAAAGTAATTGGAATATCTTCTTTACATAAGTATGCTCTAACTTTGTGTAACATTCTTCGGAAATAATTCATTTCTATTAAATTTTCATGATATCAGGAAAAAAAAAGCATTTTGCTATACATTTTATCTTATTTAAAAAAAATCATAGGTGATGATTTGTTCATAAAAATTGGTACAAATAATCTTCAAATAGTCGAGCCAAAGGTAATTTTTTTAAAAAGAGGGTTCCATGTACTCGTTTTCAAGCTAATAGTTAAAATCAGTCGAAAAATCCATCTTTTTCTGATATGTCACAGTTTGACATCTAAAAAAATACCATTTTATGGTAGCAATGTCATTACCTCCCCTGTAACTGTATCCTATGCCTTTAACATGAACACTATGCAAAAAACATTCAAATTCAAAAAACAAATGACTGAGGGGGCGGGGACAAATAACCTCCATGGAAATGAGATGTACCAATGCTTTAAATGCAACTGCACACTAAATATCATTAACCTTACACCAGTGGTTTCCCTTAAAATAACCTAATCACAAATACCTTGTAGAAGTCACTGCTGCCTGAAACAGCTTGCCTCTGTCCCGCTTTTTTAACTCATCAATGCGAGACACAAATGGATATGCAATCATAACTATATATACTGTATACTGTAGATTATTTATCATTCATGGGATACCAATTTTTGTGGATTTGATGGGTATAGTTAAATAAGGAATTTTTAAATGTTCAACAAAGTACAAACTTTCTATAGGCTTGTATGCATACCTTTGCAAAACCATAAAATCATGTATCCACGAAAAAACAATGTGTCCTCGATCCACAATAATTGGTCCCCATGAAAATAAATGAATCCACAGTATCTCATTTAAATACAATGAGAGGTGCACTTTTTGCTTCCTTTACAGCTGTAGTTTTGGGGTGGAGGGCTTAGGGAATCCCACTTACATCAGGCTGGAGAACTTGAGGCAACCCAATGACCCTTGGTTTGGCAGGATGAGGTAAACCACTGACCTTTGATGGGAATGCTTTAGACAACCCACTGACTGGAGAGCTCATGACCAATGATCATGAGTATGATTGATTGTTTGATTGTTTGTTGCTTAATGTCCACCACCGAGTATGAGTTTTGCAAATAACTAAAGGAAGTTTTTGATGTGGTAATAGGCTAGACATTTCTGTACACCACATAGTACCAAGGATACGATAACTACTGTTTTTTATAAGAATAAACATCTTTTAATTTGAAAAAAAACATCTATGTCTACACAGTACTCACTGCTTAAGAAGTCCACACATTTCTTCATATTTGGTAAACACTAGCTTGGCTCTGTTACTTGACATGCATCTGAAATAACGAAGAATAATACAGTTTATCAATCTATATGAGATCAGGCTCATGTACATACAACTGTGCCTTTAGACAGGCATGTTTTATCGACTTCTCACTCAAGAATATTGGATAGTTGAAATGACACCTTTTATAAACTTCTAACACAGTTATAACAGCAGTCCGGTTTTATTGATTTAACAACAAAATTCAATTTCCAACAGTTATATATAATGAATAATGACTATCATGCAAGCAGAAAGTCTGGTGTAATAAAACATGGTTTATACAGATAGGACCTTTGGTGTAATAAAACTTGGTTTAAGATACATGTACTACTTTCCTTGAAATGTCCCTGTACATTTTACTGTTTAATTTGTTGCTTTTTGTGTCTTTCCAATATTCCAAATGGATTTTTATTTCTATTCTTTAAAATTACTTTAATTTTAAATATATTACATTTGGTCGATCACATTTTTGATATTTCAAAACATTTCATGATACGATACTAATCATGTGCCAAAAATTAAAACACTTATTTTTTTTCTCAATATGTTTGAGTTTATACGTATCCTCCATAAAACTTATGAACAGAAGAGGAAACATTCCAACCAGTGCTCAAAACATGAAATCCCATCAATATTTCCATGTATTCTAAAAGCATGTTTTATAGATAAATTGAAGGATTCATTAAAAAATGTTGCTTATAATTGCTTATTCACTTTTATTATGTGAGAGTTCATAATATAACTCTCCATTTCAGAACCTAAAGGACTATGGGTAATTTGATTGGTTGTACCTTAAAAAAAACATTACATCATTGGTTGAATTTCCATTATTAAGGATGTTTTAAGCCAAACAGAACATTCTGGTATACACTTTTGAAAATTTTGCCCAGAATGCATTAGATTCTGCAATGGTGAATAAAGAACAATGAAATTGATCAATTATTAAAAATATTTCTTACAACTACAGTCATGGTTTACTTACGGGTGCTCAAATTGTTTGAAATCGGTCATTGGGCCAGATATTCTTGCAGACATTTCAGCAGACCAACGCAACATTCCAGACATCATAGGCATGTTCTTGTGCAGCAATAATTTGCCCTCTTGTTTTAAAGCCATCTGCTGGTCATACATTTTCTTGGCCGTATCAAGTTCATCATGCATCATCTCAACAACTAGAGGATACCTGTTGTCGATGTCAAGCTTGACAAGGTCTCTATCCAGAAGAGAACCCATAATGGCAAGAAACTGTAAATACATGGATCATATAACAAATACACATTGTCAGTATTTACTGATATTAATTGCTTGTAAAAAAAATACTCTGAAAACATTTTTCTATAAAAGAAGCAACAAATATCAACTTCCATCAGTTTTACTGTGACTTGACTGTAAGTGTTGCTCTCAACCTATTGCAACTTATTCAAAATTTTGACCAAATTGCAATTTGTTTTATAAAACCAAACTGTTCAACTGGTCAGAAATTTGAACAAACTGCTGTAGAAAACAAAAAATGGGTGAAATTACAGTACGTTGTTTGGAAGTTTCCATGGGTGATGATCAATTTTTCTTTCGAAAAGTTTCTATATTCAAAAGAATAATGATTTAAGTTATCTCCCATGGAAACTTATTAACAGCATATTGTAATTTCACATATATTTTTTACTGAATATAAGATGTTTTAATTTAAATGATGTCTGATTCTTATGAATATAGAAGACTTTTCGAAAGAAAAATTGTATGAAAGCTTAGTTTGGACATTTTTATAGCAATTCAAAATTACTACCATCACCTTTAGCATGACAATAACAATAAAATTTCTACAAAAACTGTTAGACTGATTTGTCATAATATCATTGAAGTGGAATTAAAGTCTTAAAGGATTGTAAGTATGCTTTATTTTATCACCTTGCACATTCACGATTTGACTGTGCTTTTCTACAGCAGTTTGTTCAAATATCTGACCAGTTGAACAGTTTGGTTTTATAAAACAAATTGCAATTTGGTAAGAATTTTGAATAACTTGCAATAGGTGGAGAGCAACACTAACAGTCAAGTCACAGTAACAACTTTAAGCACTCTTGGCTATATCATGTAAATGAACAACTTTGACCACTTGGCCAGTGAAACAGTGATGACATTTGATATTCTTATTTTTAAGGTAAAGTTTTTTCAAAACAACATTTGAAATGAAAGAACCTTTAGCTCACATACCCAGAGCCCCCCACATAAAGGGAAAAACATATAGCATTTGTATAGTGACCTGATAGAAAAGTTTTGATGAGTGGAAATCTTCATCCAAAATGATAGATGATCTGATAAAAAATGGAAGGTGCTATCCTGGCAATTTTTTTAGAAAAAGGGTGAAGGTTTGGTACCATTAAAACGTTTAAACCCGCTGCATTTGTTTGCACCTGTCCTAAGTCCGGAATCTGATGTTCAGTAGTTGTTGTTTGTTGATGTGGTTCATAAGTGTTTCTCGTTTCTCATTTTTTATATAGATTAGACCGTTGGTTTTCCCGTTTGAATGGTTTTACACTAGTAATTTTTTGGGGCCCTTTATAGCTTACTGTTCGGTGTGAGCCAAGGCTCCGTGTTGAAGACCGTACTGTGACCTATAATGGTTTACTTCTATAAATTTTGACTTGGATGGAGAGTTGTCTCATTGGCACTCATACCACATCTTCTTATATCAATTTAAACCAATATGGAATATATTTACATGTCCCCCCCCCTAAAAAAAGCCTCCCCCATTTCAGATGTTTTTAATTATCAAATACATCCACAGTTTTGATTAGTCGAAACCTTCATCCAAATTTAAGGAGGATCCAAGAAGAAAAATGTAGACCTCAATGTTGAGGGGCAGACTGATGGGTGAAAAAATCATTATACCCTTTGCAATAGTAACACATGTTAAAAAAATGTTGATTTTTCTTACAATTTTTTACACATTATCTATATGTAAGAAAAATCAACATTTTTTTTCTGTCATAGCAATTTTCAGAGTAAATAATCCCTCTGACATTCACTCTTATGTCAAAGTGATGAACTAGGATATGTTTCAGTTGATCTCTTCCTATATAAATAGCTGAAAATCCTTATCACTGTTACTCATTTGACCTAAAAAACCTACCTTAAAGACAGATTCTATGGTGCCACAATCATCAAATGCATGACAACTAATGGTTGCTAATCTTCTATCAAAATCCTTCACTTTCTCTTTAAATGCCTTGTAGTCTCTAACAAACTCCTATAAAACAAATCATTTAAATTAGGTATACCGTTATACATCATAATCATAAAATTTTTACATTGACACATTTATTTTTACCCAAAAAAAATCATTCTTTTCTCTTTATAAAATGTTGGTGTTTTTATACGTAAGCTTAAGTAGATAAAGAATAATCATATTTGTATGAATTCTTTAAGTCAATCATAATTGTAAGGATGTTTGCTTCTCACTTTATCAACTTTCCCCTAATATTTTGAAACCATCCAGACTTATTCTTGGATCATGCATTAAAATTGTTTGACCAGCAACCTATATATTTCTAATATTTTTTTACAAATATCATCAGTACATTTCTAGTAAAAAATTTGGAAATCCTTGTTTATTTCTTATAAACTCTACAGTTCAACATTTATTTCTATCCATATATTTCATATAAAAATTCAGTATTTAACAGCTGTTTCAAACAACATTTTTTTTAAATCTAGAATCTCAAATACAGGCACAAGGATGTATCTATTGTTTGTTATTCTTATTTTTTTATTTATGATGCAATATCTATTGGAGGAAGCCATTTCTTTTCTGAATTTCAGCAGCATACATTCCTAAGTGCTTTTAACACAATACCTGATCACCAAAGCTTAAAGTGCTATAAACAGCTTATTGTGCATATCATTATTTCTTTTACTTTTCACCAATAACCATAACCTGTGAAAAGAAACCAGGAAAATTATCATTAAATGCAAATATTTTATGCAGGTAAAAAATGTGTCATTTTGGTTTATGACACTTATTATTTATATAATTTTGTAAAAATTTGTTGTTTTTTGTCAATAACACAACTAGTTACAACTTATTTTCTAATAAATGTTTGTCTTAATTTAGTACCTGCTAAGCAAATTCATTTTACAAGAAAATGAAAAATGTCACTTATTAATGACATGTTTGAGATAGTTTAAATGCTTTTAGTTACTAATCACTTTGTTTATCCAAATTGAATCAGCATAGCGCTTAAAACTGTAGGTTATGTAGCTTTGCCCAAATTTCTAGTGAAGCAAACGATTTAAAGCTTGGGACTTGAGGGCCTCAATACAGATTTTTGACCCTGATTCTGTTTGGATAAATAGTTAGGAGGAGGAAATATGAGTCCTAAAATGTTTTTCCAAATTTACAGATGCAAAATATTAAAAAAAAGGGCATGAAAACAAATTGTTTTGATTTTTGGTATAAAAATATATTTTTTGTATGAACACAATTATTTCTGAGGTAGATATAAGTGCAACAAAGTCACACGAAACTCTGACAAAAATCCTCAGAATTTACATTTTATTAATCCTTTATTGATTGCTTGTTGTTTGCATAAATTCCAATGGCATATATTTCATGCAAGTTGGAGGAGATATAAAAAGAAATAAAAAGTTGAAAGTTTTATTATTTTATGTTCCCATACAAATATAAGCATTACTCTAACTTTTAAATTTTTGTTATTGCAATTTGGTGTTATCAACATGTTTTTTAGTCTTGAGGTGGGGCAGGTTTCATACTGAATGGGAAAGTCTTGTTTTCAATATTTGCAGTAGGCAATCCTACCTGTGTCGCTTTCAACCACGTGAAAGGTTTAGCTAGCTATAAAACCAGGTTTAATCCACTATTTTCTACATACCGGTAAGGAAATGCCTGTACCAAGTCAGGAATATGACAATTTGAATTGTTTTCCATTCGTTTGATGTGTTTAAGCTTTTGATTTTGCCATATGATAAAGGACTTTCTGTTTTGAATTTTCCTTGGAGTTCGGTATTTTTGTTATTTTACTTTTTTCATAAGGGCAGTAACTCAATATAATATTCAGAATGAAATCCATTTCCAAGTTTCCTTTTCATTGCTGCAAAAAGCGTCACTTGTCCATCTGACATCGTGAAATTGAAAGAAAAAGAAAATCTTTCTTCTATAACTTCAGAATCGATAGAGAAATGGAAAGATCGTTTTTATTGTAAATTTTTAATCTGAATCTCTCAAGCACTTATCCTTACATGATAATAACCGAAAACGAAGCATCAAAATGGTCACAATTATATCAAAACAGCAGAATGGCTCAGGACAGTTAACAAAAAGTCTGTGATTGGAACACCTTAATTTCAGCCTGAAATTAGTATCAATTACGAAAATATAGTACTTGTCAGCATCTGTTCATTCCTGCCAAGTTTGTTCACCTTGGCTGAGTGGTATAAAGAAGAAAAGATTAAAATAATAATGGATGATGGGTGCAAAGTGAATGAAAAAGCTCACACTCGACCAGTGATTTTAAACAGCAGTTTGAAATGACTTACCATATTCATTGGATCTAAGCAGTCATAGGTGTTTCTGGTGAATTCACGAAATACTGTCTGGAATTCTTCAAACAGCTGAAGAACCTGCTGACTCAGCACTTTACCTTTTATGCCACCTCTTTCAATTCTCTCTAATTTCATGAATTCACTAATTGTTCCAAACATTTCCTGAAATTTATGAGAACATGTTTGTATGAAAAAGTTTAAAACTTTTCCATAATTTGTATTTTGTCTTTCTAGGGTTTTATTTTCCATTAATATATTGTAACTGAAGAAGGTTGTTTCTACACAGAAATCATATCATGTTTTACCCCCAATGTCTTATTTTTCTGATGATCAAATCAACCACAATAACATTGTTTCCAATATGAAGACATCCATATTTAAAGAAGATGTCCTTAATTATGTGGTATTAAGCCAATCTCCCATATAAAACTGTCAAAACTTAAATAAATCTTATTGGCTTCCATATTTCTGCTTTTATATGGAACATTCTGTCATTTCTTTGGTATTCTTGATTATATTGCAATAATGCACTAATTTACAGAAATGATTTTTGGCTAATTGGACAATTTATACAAGATACACATTCATTAATAATAATAATATTCATTTTGCAATAAAATCAACATTATTTTGAAAGAATTTCATTTTTTCTTCTAGTGATTTTACAGACAATTTAATAATTTTCATCACACTTCCTATTTTCACATGCAACCGTGTGTTATCTTCAAATAGGGAAGAGTAAAAGAAATACATTGTATTTCTTTTTTACAATACTTACAATTATCATTTCCAATCTTGCAGTAAATTTGTCAAACCGTGGAAACACTAGTTTTGGAGTAAACTCCCACTCAACTGGTTCCTGGTCTCCTGAGAAATAGGAATGTAGCTTGGCTTTGTGGTCTTCATAGGTTTCTTTGAAGATTTTAAGTACATTTACAGCCTTCTGTACTTTATCTTTGGTGTCTTCTGGTTCACTATCACCATTGAATATGTCAGATGGATCCAGGAAAGTTCTTGCCTACAATATAAATTATTTTATACAACCAAAATATAGAAGTATATCTGACAAAAACCACCTCGGTGGTCTCGTGGTAGCGTGTTTGCCTAGAGTGCGGGAGGTTGTGGGTTCGAACCCCTGCCGGGTCAAACCAAAGACTTTTAATTGGTACTTGCTGCTTCTCCACTAAGCACGCGGCATTAAGGATTAAGAGCACAGACTGGTTGGCTCGGAGTCGGAATAATGTGTCCTTGTAAGGTGACATGTCTTCCTGCGGACTGTGACCACCTTGTGAACTAGCACGTTAAAAAATCCAGCTCAGTGTGTCAATCTAGTACCAAGCAGGGTAAATATTCATATTACATTAACATGTTCTTGTCCTGAATATGCATATTAATTTGCGGCTGGACGTTAAGCAGCCATCCATTATCATCAGACAAAATTCCAAACAGACACATTGGTGTTATCTATATTACAGATTCTTTAGAAATGAAGTTGTAACATATATACAATATATGTACATTGTAGGAAAATACAAAATTTATTTGTACGAGAAACAGGACAAAAAGCAAGGTTAGCCGAGCTTTTCTCCAGTTTTGTAGAGAGTACAAATACATTTTATATTTCCAACAATGTACATATATTGTTTTTATCCTGCAAATTACACCCAGCACTTGAAGCTTAAGTTGTTTAAATCCAAATCATTGTCCGATTTTTCAAAGAAATAGACATAGTTTAAACACGGACTGCAAAAAGGACCCCAAAATGAATTGCTACCAAAAAAGAAATATCCACATTACCGCTTGCTCAACATGGAATCGGGGTAATAGAAGACTATTTGTACAAGTACAAATAAAGCAAAAATTGATTTGTACAATAGTTGGCTGATTGCAGGATAAATTAAATAAACAGGGATGTAGCTTGCAACATTTCTATGAAACTGTCTACACTGGTCAGATTGTTACATTTATATCAAATTTACTAAAAAAAAATCATTCATATACCAGTATACATGTACATATAAATTTGTATACATAATCATAAACTAATGCATAAATCTAGCTATTGGTTTTCTCTTTTGAATCCTTTCACATTTTGTCATGCTGGGACCTTCTATAGCTTACTATGTGGTCTGGGTTTTGCTAATCTTTGAAGGCTGTATATTGCATTATAGTTGTCCACATCCTCATCCTTTAGTCTCTAGTGGATAGTTGTCTCACTGGCTATCATATTTATAATGAACCATTAAAGTAATGAAGAGAATATTACATCCCTATATGTTATAATCGGATATTGGACAATTTTCTCCTAATTTTGCTCTTTTTTCGTGGTGAATTTACTGCAAAATTCACTCTTGGCAAAATTTTGACTGTTCTTTTAAATGCATTGTACAAGGCCATCAAACAAAAATAATGACCACAGGGAAGGCCAAAACCCCAAACGGAATCAAAATGCCAACATCTTCATCATTTGGTCAATGGTGGATAGTTGCCTCATTGACAATAATATCACATCTCCTTATTTTATACTGATAAGTATAATTGTCACAGTACCTTTTTTGCAAGCACACATTAATACTTCTACATTACAATACTTTGAAAATAAAAAAAGGTTATCTTCTTAAATACCTGATTTATAAGCATATTAGAGATTTCCTGTAGGAGAACAATAATTCTGCCTGGCGACCTGTAGTAGGTAGAATGTACCCATGTCAGACAAACAGTGTGCATCATTGGAGGTAGTAATGGTCCACTCTCATCAAAGTCCTTCTGTTCATAGTCCTCAAAGTGATGTCTCAAGGGTCTCAAAAACAAATTTATATCGTGGGTTTCTTCAAGAGCTGAAAAAAAGTAACCAACGTTTCATAAAAAAAGCAGAAGGTATAAACTCTCTATGATCCAGCTAAATGTTTTAATCTGTAATTAGTGTTAACTAATTTCCTCAATTAGAGAAATAACGTGACTGTCAATATTGACAAAAACGTCAAACTTGAATATTTTCCTAACTAATACATCAACAATGTTTTAAAGTCAGGAAGTCAACTATTACAGGCAAATTGTAAAAAAGTGTATTTGGGAAAGTAAGTTGGTTTACAATAATTTGGATGATTGATTTGCACTCCAATTGTATGTAGCCATGGTAGCAGATGCCAAAAATTAAAATGACTTTTTCATTTAACTTACTGTGGATTCATTAGTATTCGTTGGATACCAATTTTCCTGCATTTCGTGGGTACAGGTGAACTATGAAATTAAATGTTCAACGAATGACAAATTTCCTATAGGCTAATATGCAGACTTCCGCAAAACCATGCAAATTTTCCTTAATCCACGAAAATTGGTACCGACGAAAATAAATGAATCCACAGTAAATAAAATAAGGAGATATGGTATGATTGCCAGTGAGACAAATAATCACTAGAGACTATATATAAGCTAGTTATAATTTGTCTGTAACAACTGCAGGTAAGTATTGTCTGTTTAAGACTGTTTTAGTTCAGCCATTATTATTTTTTCAGTCTGCATTTCAGAAATTCTATACTATTGTTCTTTTTTAAATTGACTTTACATTGCAGGTTAAGATATTCTTAGCCAGCTCCAAAAATTGATTTTAATATAAAAATAACTTTAATATTATTTAAAAATGTTATCCTGTATTTATAATCACAAATCTTAATTGTTAAAAAGTGATTTCAAAATTATTACACAATTCATTCTTCTTATAAAAAAGAAGCCTTTAACAGATGATACAATAGTTGCGATATATTAAATAATAAAAGAACCTTTGTGAGCACACTCACATACCCCATGTCCCCACATAAGTGCAAAGGGCATAACTCCTAGAAAAAAAATGAATCATAATTTCCTGTCGATATGCACATCTACCATGTCTACATAGTATGTCCTTATTATCTATAAAGTTTCATGAAATTCTGTTGTGTGGTTTCAGAGGAGTTGCGATGACAAGAACAGGATTGAGGGACAGGTCAAAAACATTATACCCGACGCAAAAATTGTGTTGGGTATAATAATATTAAAATTGATTGTTAGTGTTTAATGCCACTTTTAGCACTATTGACTTTATGGTGACGCCCAGTTTCTGTTGGTGGAGGAAGCTGGAGTGCCCAGAGACAACCATTGACCTTAAACCTTAAAGATTAAGAAAGTCTTTTGACATTACCTCCATAAAATTAGGTTTGAGCTAAATAAAATAAACTTTTGCCAAAGATCTGTTAAAATGATTCCACATTGTATACTGTGGATTTATTTTTGTAGGTACCAATTTTCGTGGATTGAGGAACAAGTCAGCATTCAAGCCTTTTGAAAATTTGTACTTCGTTGAACATATAAATTTGTGCTATATATATATCCATGAAATCCACATAAATTGGTTACCCACAAATAATAATTGAATCCACAGGTTACAATGTGGAATAATAAAGAATCCACAATACACTATTTGAAATTATGTTGAATCCACAGTATTCTAAAAGTACTTCTATCTTTATTGATATTCCACTCAGTAAAAAAATAATCATTAATTAGATCTTCATATAAACTGTAAATTCAGAAATTATTGCGAGATTTTTAATATTGCGAATAATTTCGACTTGGTAATTATCGCAATAATAAGAACTCGCATTCCGATATCTGATACGGATATCTGTATGCAGATTTTCCTTAAATCATAATAATCAATCTCGCATTTTCGTCTATTCATCAAAAAATCGCAATAATAAATGCATGCAATAGTTTCTGAATTTACAGTATTTAAAAACTCTATTCCAAAAACCGACCTGCAACAACATCTCTGAAAATCTCCTTAAATATAGGGAAGTAACTACTCTGTGCTACTTCTAATAGTTCTGCCATCTTCCTGACTTTTGGATCTCTCAGCTGTAAATAGAAAATTCAAAGGCATCTAACTACTGAGCAGTAATTACCAGAGGTATGAGATCATATGGATCTTCAGTGGGTTTGTTGTTCACATGCAATTACACCATATCAATTTATTAAAAAAAATCATTTAAGATGTTTGTGCATACTAAAGTTTATCTGCATGCTGTATAATTGTCCTGTGTTGTTTTCATTTGAAATGATACATACATAATAAAAACTTTTACTAATATACACATATTTGAACAATGTTTTCCACCTTTAAATTCTTAAAACGGCTCTTAATCCACAAATCAAACTGACTGTAAGATTGTAAAAAAAAATCTCCCTTAGTTAAAAAAAAGTTTCTACATCACAGTAAAAAATTTATATCAAAAACAATATCAGATTATTACATGACATTTTTCATATCAGATATTATATTAGCCCAAGATAACATCAGCCCCAAGAGCCAACAGAAAATCTTGCATGTGATGGACTGATATGGCCATCCAATTGAAAGTGCCTCAAAATCAAATATCAGCCCACTTGTCTGATAAATTCTGCTTATGTCATATTAGAAATGCAAAAAACAATTATCAGAAGAAAATATGTGATTTATAAAGCAAAAATGATCTTTAAAGTTTACAAATTTGTGTAAGTGTATGCTTTCTGGGTTTGTGATCTTGCTTTTTATGTGCTCCTTAAAGAAAAGACAACATAAAGCTGTCATTCAAATAGACAAACACAACATCACCTGTTCATATATGCATTCCAAGTTAGTGGCCTTGTTTTTCCAGAATTCTATCTCCACAAATGGTGTAGGATTTAGACCTTCTAGCAAAGGCTGGGCTGAATCCTTCTTCAGGACTTCCCTGATCTGATGGGTCCAGTCAATAACTACAGTCTCAATGGCATGGACTATGTTTCTGTCAAACTTCTCATTACTGAAAAATAAATGTTGTAAACATGAAAATGTTCTATGTCTAGGCCATAAAAAAAATATATTTGTTTGCCCTAACCCTACCTACCCAGAAAATAGCTGCCTACTCAAAAACTTTTATTGTCCTGATGTGAAGTTTTTTATTAATCAGATAGGCATGAAGACTATAAAACATCTCATACTTCAATTTCTCTTTGCCGAAAAATAAAAATAAAATGCCTACCTACCTACTCACTGTTTCTACCTTTGGGAAGGGTTTGGGCAAACCAAAATATTTTTAAGTGTGGCCCTAGTAAAAACTATGTGAACGATATTTGGTGTCAATTTCAGTAAAACTCTTAGTTATAATTCCAGAATAGTCTTTCAAGTTGTACAGTTTTAGAAAAATAAATTTAGCTCTACCTTTCAGCGGGTTCATCTTCCACCTGCTCAGTTCCAACAGGAAGTGGAAGAAGTGTTTTCCCCTTGGCTTGTCCAGTAACCACAAATACAGCACTCTTAGTGTTCTTCACATGTTGACTGATATCAGTTGAAACTACATGTGGCCAGGATCCATGATTCTTCTCATTACCCAATACAGGAACCAGTACCTGAAATGAAAAGAAAACAAATCAGGGAACCAGTAAGTTTCTTATTTTCTTCTAGTGTTGTTCCTAATGAAAATAGAACCCTCTGCATATTACTGTGGATTCATTAATAATTGTGGTTGTATAGTAAGCACAATTTTAAATGTTCAACGAAAGTACAAATGTTCAATAGGCTGGTATGTTAACTTTGGCAAATATCTGTGAAAATACATTTTTTTATCAATCCACAAAAATTAATGTTTATCCTTCTGAACTTTATATTCATAGCTTAATGATAACAATTGGAATCAAAGTACTGAAGTACTGAACATTGGATGACCGCAAGTTCTGGTGGATAGTCACAGGCACTTGTCTCAGAAAAAATAAAATACATGTATCTCTATACCTGAAAGTTAGGTTAAGGTATATAGATTTATTTTTTTTCTGAGACAAGTTCCTGTGTGGATGATGAATAAATGACAGAGAATTCAACCTCACCGTAATAATTATTATATTGTAGTGATATAATCATGGGACAATCATTTGTTATCAGTATAATCTGGTTTGTTGTTATATATTATATTAATATTTGTACAACAGTTATATATATAGCAGATCATCTTAATAACTCTACCTGCAAATTTTCATCCATTTATACCATCATTCTAATCTACTATTCTAATGATAGTGAAGTGCTAGTGCATGGTGGACACTCTTCTGTAATAATTCGTTTTTGTAATAGGTTTGATTTGAGTAGGCATTCATATTTCTCCCGCTACTGAATATTTAGTGATGAAATTAATATATAACAAGCGATAAGAGATATTCATCCGCAAACACAATTTTACTCAGCCATGGAAAATTGAACACCCTTCTACAGACCTCAGATTTTCAAACTGTCATAGCTATTCCAGCTATGTTATATAGTAGTACTGCGTTTATAAGTACTTGGTAGGAACTGAACACCCCCCCCATTTACCCCCTTATAGACCTCAGATTTTCAATTGTCATACATTGTGTAGCTATTCCAGCTATGTTATATATTGTAATAATGCATTTATAAGTACTTGGTAGGAATAAAATCGGTTATAAAATATTTTTAATCCTTTATACTCAGTCATGGAAAATTGAACCCCTTCTATCATATCTATCGACCCAAGATTTTCAAATTGTCATAGCTACATGTATTCGAACTAATTTATATAGTTATAATGTACATTCATGTGCATTTGACATGCATTTGAAGGAAATCCAGGGGTTCAATTTTCTATGAGGGGGGTTAATTTTCTGTTATGGAAAATTGAAAAATTGCCCAGGGTTCAATTTTCCCTATGGTATTTTGACTCCTGGTTCAATTTTCAATATGACACCGTCAATGTCTTTATAAATTTTCAACATTTTTAGTTTTAAAATATCATCCAAATGATCAAGCAATGACAGATATTAATTGTTCTTTTATCAATGGTATTTCACTATTTGCCTTATGTTCTGTGGCAAATATGTGAAGCTTTTTCTGGATGGAAAAAAAATAATAGGCAAAACCACATATACATGCACATTAAATAGGTTCTGCAAGAGGGATTAACAGAGATGGGAAAACTGGACACTTTGACGTTTACACAAAAATGTTTATTCATCTTGCTTAAATTACTATGGTGAAAAATTGCCTTGCAACAGGTCACTTATAACCCCTCCAAAGTAGTTGCAATATTTAATGTGGTCTTCTATCAACTTGTTATCTAATATCCAAGTTTAAGCATCCCAATTATCACCATGACTTTTGGAATAGTTAATATTTGTTTCATACTAAGGTATGACATTATTTGTTTTTATTTAATATTTGCCAACACCAAATTAATGACACCATCACCACTGTCACCAAAAATATACATTTTGTACCTCATTTACTAGTCCTGAAAGCTGTTCAAGGGGGGAGTATGATAAATCCCCATAAATCAAAGCTTTGTTCAAGTCTGTTTCCTTGGTTATTTGTTCTTGATATCTCCTTATAAAGTAACAAGACTTTGCTTTTGGATTTGCTGGAAATTCTAACTGAACAACAAGTGATGAACCAGGTAATGTAAAGATGAGTGATTTTGCAGTTGGCTTGTCAAAAAAATCATTGATGATTCTCTTATTTTCTTCCAATGCATAAAACTTTTCAAATCGGTCCGATCTAAATTTAAAAGTTTTGATCACATACGTAGCAATGAATAAAACTCTGTCGTCTTCGATCTCATTGTCTTCTGCCATAACTGCACCGTTATATAGAATTGCACACTTCTAATTCGAGTGACAACCAGTAGAGAGCTAGCTGGAAATATTATGTCCCAGGTAGAGATTTTTTTTTCAACCCCAACACCGAATCAGTGTGACAACAAGTCTAAACTAAATTTGAGTTGTTATGTAAATAAACGTGTTGTTAAGGGGTATTTATATTTCATTCAGTTAATTAAATTAATGGTTAACCTTATGTTAAACGGCGATCATCCAAAACATTTACTTTCAATATGATATTGAATATCGAATTACCCACCTATTTTAACGACCTTGACCTTTCGGTGGATACAAATTATCTCTTGCAGTACCGACTTTGGTAAACGAGTATTGAGATTACACAAAAGAAAAACTTTGAACTTCTATCTTACCATTAATAGTTGTCCTATATTGTTCTTTATGATTTTATGTGTTGTATGTGTTGTATTTTGTTTTGTTTTTATCTTATTTATTTATTTTTTTTTGGGGGGGGGGGTTAACCAGAGACATATATGTGTATATATGTCTCTGTTTTAACTTATTAAATGTGTTCCAAGACCGTGACTTGTTCTAATCCCTGTGAATTTACAATAATAGTATGATGTTCCTCTCGGTTAATCTAAAATAAGAATAGAGAGACATCCTGATATAATTGCATTTTCACCACAAGAAACAAATCATGAGTAGCATTGGCGTTAATACAAATCTGATTGCAAATTTATTTTCTGCAACTCATATAAAGCCTTTTTCTCAAATGAGTAAGGTAGATATGCTATATATACTTACTGGAGGTGTCATGAGATGATTAAAGCCCGATAGGATGTAGGTATTCATATGGGCACCAGTTGTGTTCCTTTAGTAGCAGACTTGTTCAGATACTGTTATGAATCACAGTTTATGGTAAAACTCAGTAAAGAAATATGTTAATTCCATTTAATTGATAAACTCAACAACACTTACCGTTATCTTGATGATATTTTAATAATCAAGAATTCTCTAAATATACAGTTGAAATTTACCAAAAGGAACTTAGTTAATAAATCAAATATTAACAGCAATAACGGTCCTTTCCTCGAATTAGATATTTCAGTATTCCACCAGAAACTCTACGCAAAATTTTATGACAAAAGGGATGATTTTTCTTTCCCTATTGTTAATTTTCCTTTTTTGGACGGTGATGTTCCTTTGTCACAGTCTTACGGTGATATAAGCCCTAAATATACTCCTTGACAACATGTATGTATGTTTCGGGAATAAAGTTTATCGACAGGATGTAGGTATTCATATGGGCACCAGTTGAGTTCCTTTAGTAGCAGACTTGTTCCTATGCTGTTATGAATCACAGTTTATGGTAAAACTAAGTAAAGAAATATGTTAATTCCATTTAATTGATAAACTCAACAACACTTACCGTTATCTTGATGATATTTTAATAATCAAGAATTCTCTAAATATACAGTTGAAATTTACCAAAAGGAACTTAGTTTGAATAAATCAAATATTAACAGCAATAACTGTCCTTTCCTAGAATTAGATATTTCAGTATTCCACCAGAAACTCTACACAAAAATTTATGACAAAAGGGATGATTTTTCTTTCCTATTGTTAATTTTCCTTTTTTGGACGGTGATGTTCCTTTGTCACCGTCTTACTGTCCTTTCCTAGAATTAGATATTTCATTATTCCACCAGAAACTCTACACGAAAATTTATGACAAAAGGGATGATTTTTCTTTCCCTACTATTAATTTTCCTTTTAATGACGGTGATTTTCCTTTGTTACCGTCTTACGGTGTTAAATATCCAAACTCGTTTGCTTTGCTCGTGTCTGTAGCGACGTTTTGGATTTCAATGAACGTAATCTATGTATTACTAGTAAATTATTAAGCCAGGGATTTCGTTATCACACATTACTTAAAACCTTTACTAAATTCATCCATAGATACAAAGATTTGGTTCACAAGTTTGGCTGTACCTGTAGAAAACTTATTTCAAACGGAATAACACATCCTGAATTATACGGTGGTGTTGTTAACCGATCCCGGGAATTTAGATACGATATCCGTGTAAACTTATCAATCCTTTAAATAAACTTATTCTAAAAGGTTACCTATGCAACACTGCAATTAAATTTTTGAATATTGGTATACGTATTGATTTTGGTATCAGTAAATTAAAACTGTACTAAATATTACACATATGTACTTTCACGGTACTACAATCTGTCGATACATATACCTATATTTTGGCATTGCACAAGGTCATGTTTTTCTCTGACTGCTATAATGACGTCTTTACACTAAATCCTTTGGTTGTTTGATGTGTACTACTTGATATTTTAGTCTCAGATACATGATTTTTTTATTAGTTGTTATTGGCTTTGAACTAGCTGTCAGTAACTGCGAGTTCTCTCAGATCTGTACTGTGTCTTTTTTGCTGTTAGGAATGAGGGATGGATATATACCCTGCCACGTCCTGCCTGTGTTTTTATGTGATGTTTTTCTTTGTATCGATCTGATGAGTTGAGCCTTTTTCATCTGATTTTTATAGTTTGTTCTTATGTTGTGCTGTAACACCACTGTCACAGGTTAAGGGGAGAGTTGAGCATTCACAAACATGTTTAACCCCGCCACATTCTTTATATGCCTGTCCCAAGTTAGGAGCCTGTAGGTCAGTGGTTGTCATATTTGTTTTTCGTAAACTATTTTGTTATAAATTAGACCGATTAGTTTTCTAAATTGAATTGTTTCATATTTTTCATGCCGGGGCCTTCTATAGCCGCATGTACAGAATGTGACATGCTTAACTATATGCTCTTATATTCACACAGTGACAGTACTAGTTTTGTTTCAAAATGGGTGTGGTAATTTAGTTAATAGTGTGACCCTTTTTGACTGTTTGAGCAGACTCATTTACAATTATATTACAGTTTGGAAATACCTGTACCAAGTCAGGAATATGACAGTTGTTTTTCACTCGTTCAGTTGATATGTAACGTTTGATTGATTATGACAGTTTTTATGGACTTCCTCTGTTTGGATTTCCAGTAGATTTCAATATTTTTGTTATATTTTTTTTTTTTTACTTTTAAATTGTTTCACACATTTTCTTCCCAGGGCCTCCTTTTATTGCGTACTATACGGTATGAGTTTTGCTCATTGTTGCATTTCATTTAGACAACCCAAGCATACTGTTGACCTTCAAAACAGAACACGACGGTGGCCGTTTCAAATGTTCTGTGTTTATTACTTTCAGGTGGTATTCTACTTTCTGCTGTCATATTCATTTGACTACTCATCTTCCCTCATCTCTGAACCTCTGTCGCTCTCTGCCGGTGCTTTGATGTCTTCAGATGGTTCCAACCTTCACCAGATGTGTCTACCCTGTACCATTAAATCCGTCGGTTGGTGGGTCAGTAGAGATGGCCAAATCTCTACTCATCAGCACTCGGCTTCCAGCTCAGATCATCTCGGCGATGCCATAACCAGCAAGATGAACGTTCTGCTGCTTCACCCAGCTGTCTTACTGCTGTCTTCCTCGCCTTTCCAACTATTCACATTGCCTGTAGCATCCTCCATACTGACTTTGCAGGAAATCCTCTACAGCCTACTTCTCCTTGGAACAGCCACGCTTTCTAACCTCTCTCTCTACATGTTGTCATCAGCTCTCTATACTTCTCCCTTTTCCGCTGGCATGCCTCTTCGCATCTCTCTTCCCAAGGAACTGTTAGTTCTACTGCTCTTATCATCTTTGACTTCTGTGACCAAACTACAATGTCTGGGCGTAGGTTTGTCTGTAAACATTCAAGAAACACAAGCATCTTGCCAATGTCAGCCCTCATGTTCCATTCACTGCTCTTGTCCAAAATGAAGTGCTGTTGTGATTTTGTTGCATGACCAGTATCTCCCTCTCTAACGAATCTGATCTGCTTAGCCTATGTTGCTGTTGGTCTCTTCTTCCTTCGCTCAACATCAAGAATCTCTGCCAGATGTTTTAGGACCTTGTCGTGCCGCCATCGATATATTCCCTGTGTCAGTGCCACCTTACAGCCTGAAAGTTTGTGTGCCATCCATCTCTTTCTCCACATAACTTGCAGCCTGGTTCTTCTATCAGTCCCCACTGATGTAAGTTTGAAGGGGAAGTTGTCAGTCGTCTGTAATGGTTCATAAATTTGGTTACTAGTATATGCTTAGTGTTAGACAATGTTACATTTATTTATCATATATTATGACTCGTCAACTGATTTCAACAAGAATAACACGACAGGTGACACGTGTATGCTATATACAGACCTGGGTGTACGTCTGTCAAGGTTGACATACCTTACATCTGAAATTATTTTCATCTTTTTTCTTTTTCCAACAACGGTTAACTATACGTTATTTCTTTTTTTTTTTTTAAATCATGAAGTCATCTAAATATGCATAACATCTGAAATCAATATTTTAATTTTGGCAATCCATTCAAATGCTGTGCTAAATTTCTCAAATATTTGACAACTGGAACTACATCCCATCTGTAAATTTTTATCGTAATACTAATGAAACCAAAAAGGTTATATTGCGATTCTTTCTGATTTATAATTCAAAATGCATTTGATATAATCGGTTTTCTATCAAAAGTCTTGTCTTCCAACAGTCTTTCTCAATTCTATTGCATCTTGAATTGATGGATACTGCACACCGCATTTTCTTGTGGTATACTGTCATTGACTTGGTCTGTGCACTGAACAAACCACGCTTGTCGTGTGTATACTGAATAAACCATACGAGCCATGTGCGCCGAAACAAACCAAACGTGTCGTGTGCACTGAATCCCCACATTTGTTGTTGGCACTGAACAAACCACACCCGTCGTTTGTATTGCACGAAAAAAAACCGCGTCGTTTGCATTATACAAACCACACGTGTCATATGCGCTGAACAAATAAAAACATGTGTCGGGTTCATTGAACAACCCACACGTGTCCTATGCAGTGGTAATCCACACGTGTCCTATACAGTGGTCAAACCACACGTGTCCTATGCAGTGGTCAAACCACATGTGTCCTATACAGTGGTCAAACCACACGTGTCATATGCAGTAATCAAACCACAGGTGTCCTAGACAGTGAATTAATCACACGTGCCAT